AGACAGCGTTTGAGTGCATTTGATTGGATTGGTCAGCATGGGGCTCACGCATGTGGCATTATATCTGCCTTTTGTGATTGATGAACTGCTGTTTGTAGTAAGTGCCATTACCCAAGTGAGTGCTGACAAATGACTCACTAGCATGAGAGAGCAGAAACACTTTGCTGTATGCTGCCATACTGAGCAGGATATTGACTGTGAGAGGAGTGTGTATTCTTTTTCTCACGGCTGTCTGATGATATAATAGGCTCACAGAGGTTGTCATGCCAAAGGCCATCTCTAGAGCGCATGTAAGCCTCTGTGTAGCGACTGAACTCCAGTACTAGCTCTTGTAGTGGCCTGTAATTGCTACATGTATTGCACTGACTGGACACCACTAGACATCAGTAGGAACCATTGGTCTAAAGGCCTTGACACACCAAGCCGATTTCGGCCGTTGATAGATCTCTGGCCGCCGATGAGCGTCCTATCGCCTTACTCAGATTGGTGTGTCCCGCACCGTCGTGTCTTTTCGGCCGTGCCGACACCTTCCGCTGCCGATTGACCATGTTGAATCTGCAGCGGAGGCTGTCAGAAAAATAAATCACTCTGATTGGCTGTTCAGCTTAGCGAATCAGTGCATGAGAAGTGAAACGGAAGTGAGGTACGCAAACAAACGATTAGGCACACACAGACGGCTATTACTTTTCATTTTCATCTCACCTGGACGCAAGAATTATACGATTATAAGTCGCTATGTGAAACAGTCTGTGAAACAGTCTGTGGTGGACGAGAGTGAAAATGGAACGCACACGCTATTTGTTGTTTGTATATATCACGCAGTCTGTCTTCCGGTTGCCTCTTTTGAATGACGAATACACACTACCGCCGCCTGCTGGTAAGGAGAGTTATCGCCACTCCCGCATGCGCAGTGCGTACGTGCTACTTGGCCGTCGGCTGAAGTCTTTGCGGTGTGTTCCAGTGCGACTTTTTGGCCAAGACGCAGGCAGTGGCGGCGCCAGGGTGTGGCTGGGGTAGGCTACAGCCCTACCAAGAAATGGCTTAGCCCCACCTTAGCCCCACCATGAAAAATGATGTTAAAGTAAGCAAAATAAAGTCCGCCAACTCGCGCGGAGTAAATTGCACAGACAGCAGTTAGTAAGATTGATTTCAGTAGCCACTTGTCTGGAAATACCGAAGACTAGAAACGATTTTAATAGAAATCAACACGTAATGAAATAAGACCCCACGGTTTGATGATTGATAGGTGTGTGGGCTGTCTTTCATTTTGACACACAAAACAATGGGGGCTATCCACCCTTATCCACAATGTAAAGTAATTCACACAGCCTCTTCCCTCTTCTCTCTGTGAGGAGCAGCAGGTTCAGCTTTTAGAACAAAGTAACAAAAAACTAAAATGGCATTCATTTTTAAATGTGTAGTAATAGATTTATTTATTTTTCTTCTCAAGAGAGTACCAGAATTTGTATTTTATGTTAGTATTTCAAAAGATCTCCTGGGGGAGAATCCCCCCAGACCCCCCTGCAGGGGTTGGGTTTTCAGTCAACTCTTTCACCTGTGGGGAAATTGCAGGATTGGCTCCAGGTCGCCCTTTTTATTTACTACAAGACAAATGTGCCTTTTTATTTCATACAGTTCAATTTGGATTGAGACAGGGAAATAATCTAAACCTCACGCGTGGCGTTTCACTGTCAAGGGGGGCGATATAGCGTGTATGTAATTACATTGCAAATACTGACTTGAGCCCCACCACTGTATGGGTTAGCCCTACCATAGATTACACAACAAAAATACTCTGGAGCCGCCACTGGACGCAGGAGACGTGAGGCGACACATCAGTCGGGTCCGTCGGGACGTGTTCTTTGGTGTCAGTTTGGTGTGTCAGGGCCTTAAATACGCTGACACACCATGATACATGTTCTGCACTCATTTGCTCTAGGTGTGGCAAAAAATGGAGGGAAGAAATGTTGTCGAACCATGCGTCCGTTTTTTGAAGTTGCACAGGAGTGAAAGATAGTGGAAAGGTTCACCACTGTAGGAACGAATAATACTTCCATACGAGCATATGCCTTGTGTAGTGCACATTATACAGAGGGAGATCACAGCGGCTCTCTAATGGCGCATTTCCATTGCAGCGCGTAGCTCGCTTTAAGCGTGCCGTGTCGTGCCGTCCCCTTTTTGGGTTGTGCTTCCACTAGGCCTCGTTCCGGCGCGGCACGGCGCGGGGCCACTTTTTCCCCTCTTTTCTGGCCCTAGAAAATTGTGGTTCTATCGGGGCCAACAAACAGGGCTGAGTCGGGCTGAGTATGCTAAACTAGAGAGAGGAGCGCTGGCAAGAGGGCTAGAACTACAACAAGATGGACATATTTGACCGTGATTTAATTGTAATACACGTTTCAAAATGATGCCGAAGTAACAACATACTGATACCGGTTAGTAAAAACCATGAATTAATGCTTTGTCAAGTCTGCAGACAGACGGCAGGCGAAAAACCTTTTAAAATTCGTGTTTTTCTAGATGGAGATTGGCTAAGCTAACGCAGTATATGCTCCGACCGTCCACACTCACAACAACGGCCTATACAGACATAAATAAAGCAGCGACTGTATTCACCATGACACAGGCAGTCTGTGGTTTGTACTTGTTTAACTTTTGTCGAGTTTCTGAACATATATAAGGAGCTGTGAGCTCTGAGTGCTCACAGCTAACGGCTGTGTTGTTTTTCTGGGGTTCTCATTGAAGATGACGTCACGGCTCCGCCTACACTGCGTTACTATAGTAACTACCCCAGTTCCTAAACTGTAATGGAAGCGCAGCATGAAGTGAGTCGGCCCTGTTAAGGCCCAACGCGGCCAAGCCGTACCGAGTGTGGCCGAGGCCGACCGTGTAGTGGAAATGCGCCATAACAAACTCATTCTTTTGTTATTGTTTTGATTTAAGGCCCCCTGGGGCAGAAAATGACATGTTTTGAGTTTAAATCTGATTGCCTTGAGGTTTAAATTAACTTTCATGAACTGAAAACAAACTCCAAAATCTGACTATTAGCAAACTAGACAATGCCATAGTAGAACTCCAATCACAAGGTGGCCACGCTCTAAAGCGTACTCTTTGTCGTTCATTTGACTCTAAATTGGACCATAATGTACAAAATGACCATCATGCCATTTAAGAAGACTCTTAGCTAGCTATTGAGACCATAAACTTATCAGGAAAAAGTTTACTGAGGTATAAAATCTAGTGAGTAACGGAGCTTACACACGGCGGCATGCGTTGAAGCTTCAACGCTTCTGCCCATTCACTTTGAATGGGGTGACGTCACGCTTCGCCGAACTGCATTGTGGGAGCAAAGCGTAGCTTTTGCTCGCGTTGCTCGCCTCAAAAGTAGAGCAATGTTCTACTTTTGAAGCTTCGACGGAAGCGTCAGCCAATCGAATCATATGCCAGTACAAGCTCTAGCCAATCAAACCGCTGCTTGTGTGTCCGGGGCGGGAGATTCATGTGATTGGTTGTTGGTCGAGCGTCAGACATGCCCGTCGGCAAGCATCAACGCACGCCGCCGTGTGTAAGCTCAATTTAGGCAAGTAAGGCAATTTAGTCATTGACTTCTATACAATCCAACTACTTGTTGCCCCTGCTGGCCATTTGAAAGAGTGCAAGTTGAAGGCACTTATGATTGACATCACTTTTCAGACAGGGAGATGATCACCTGATGTTAATATAGGGCAGCCTGTGTGTGCAAAATACTCCTTTCTCTTGTCTTGATTATGGTGGCAAAACAGTCACAGAATCATTTAAATAGAGAATGTAGTGAGATAATAACCCTGAAATATTAAAAGTGGGGGGTTGGGCCGAACAACGCCACTGGCTGTGGAAATTACACCCCTGGAGTGTGACTAACAATAAAAGATGCTGACCGGGCCTTTGTCTGATTGCTAAACATCTATATGTTGCACCTTAGTCATCATGCATTTTTAATGGGGTTACACCGTGGGGGAATGTTGGTTATAGACTTTACTCAGGAGCACATTTCCACAAGCGTCTCTGCTACTGTACACTCTCCTATTGACACGGTCCACTGATTCAATTATGTCCGCATCGGATATTACCTGGAGATTTCTATTTGATTTTGTGATTTTTCTTCCGTAGACCGTGTGAGAATTGCACGAGAATTTGGCAAATATGTGGGACCTCTAACAAAAGAAAGAAGCTCATGGGAAATTAGTGCTTGCTAGGCCTGATTGAGCATTGGCAGAGAGAGAATGGAGAGAGACAAACAGCAGAAATGTAAATGATGAGGCCCACACAGAATAAAAAACGCACACACACATTTGCTACATGATTTACCACACTGATTATATCATCAAGCCTAACAGAAACAACGTATTATTTTATCTATGGCATTATCAGTTGAAGTCTTACTGTCAATGACATGTTACCCAGATGCTTATAAGCTGCCTCAGTTGCAATAATACGCTTTACATTACAAATATAATCAGTCTCTCTGTATTTTTCACGACTGACTTTGCTTTGGTTAAAGAGCACATATTGTGCTCATTTTCAGGTTCAATATTGTATTTAGTGCCTCTACTGTGACATGTTTCCATGCTTTAATGTTCAAAAAGGGTTTTATTTTCCTCATACTGCCTGTTGTGTTGTGATTGGTCAACCGCTTAGAGATGTCCTGCCCCTAAGCCTATCATGAACAATGTGTTGGAACGCCAGCCAATAGAAGCGAGTGTTACACAGTGATGCAATTATGTTACAGAAGTAAACAAACGAGCCCAATGGAGGCGTTTCAAGCAGGGGGGGGGGGGGGGGGGGGGGGGGGGGGGGGGTAGGTGTGTGTGGGAGAGAAACTCCCTAGGAAGGAACTTTGGGATTTTAGCCTTAGCATGCACTAAACCCAATGTAACACACTGCTTGATTGGGAAAAGAAGAAAAAAAGAATAAAAGCGCCTCTTTGTTACTGAAAACTAATCTGTCCTTCTTCTTCTCTTCAGATCATGCTGCTGACTGATCCCGAGGTGGAGAGCAGTCTGCTGATCAGCTCTGATGAAGGAGCGACCTACCAGAAGTACCGCCTCAACTTCTACATCCTCAGCCTGCTCTTCCACCCCGAGCAGGAGGACTGGATCCTGGCTTACAGCCACGACCAAAAGGTTAGAGAGGTGTATTATGTAAAACAACAGAACAATGTAGCCTAAGAAAAGAAGAAACCAAGATATTTAGCTTTAGTGTCCTCTTCTCAGATATTTTATTTATAAGAAAACCTGCCTTTCATTAAACAAATCAGGCAGTAGGCGTATAGTTTCACACTTAAAGTATTAGCCTACAGAACAGTAATCCTGCTAGTAATCCCCAATTCGGAAAAATAACAGCGATCTGATTTTTATCGTTTTTTGTAACTGTGGGGGAATACAGTTACGTTTTTTTCTATCCTGATTACGTAATCCCGTTAGATGTAAATGTTACATGTCCATTTCTCCCAAAGCCTGCTGAAAGGGATCATAAGGAGCTGAGTGTTGATTCAGATGAGAAGAGATCCTGTTACACAAGAGAGTGACTCAAAGCACACAGTCAGTTCATGAAGTCCATTTTGGAGAGAGTTGGAAACACATGGATTGTATAATTCATGTTGGAAAAAAAAAAAACTGATACAGACTTTCACCTGGTATATAACAAAAAAAAGAAAAAGAACAACACACTTTTGACTTCTTAAGTCTACATTTTTGTATTTTTTACTTTTACAAGAAAACGTTTGGAATGACTCCTCTTTGACTTAAAATCTAGTTATTGACTTAACATTTAAACTTGATGATTGGTTCGTCATTTTGAATTTCTGACCGAAAAGATTTCCGCAGCATTTAAGAGGTAAAAAATCTCTGCGCTGGTGTTGCAGATGTGTTTCTTTGGAATGAGTGTTCCCGCTGACTAGAAGAAAACACAACCCTTGGAGTTGCACATCGCTCGAAATAGTCGCCAACCGCAGCTCCCAAAGTAAAAAAATGTTCAACTTTGACCTTGTTTACTGGTGACATTTCGACACTCGACTAATCAGATGATGTATGTTGCGGCGCGAGCTACCTGGGGACGTATCCATAGATTTAAATTAAATGGCTGTTTTCACTGCAATGCTCTGCTCCTGAACTCACGGTGAACAAAGAGTACATCGGGTAATATGTGAATGCAGCTTAACAGTGATTCATATATTATTTTATTTAGTATCATGTGCTCATCATTTAGATTTTTTTATGGGAAGAAAATGGCTGTAGAAATTAATGAATGTCTGGTCAGATAAATAATCATGTTTTTTGATCACACCACTTCTGGTCTCGTTAATGACAGTGGCGAGCCGTTACTTTTATACCTATGCCCTCTGACCCACCCCCCCTTCCCTCGAAAAAAATAAAAATAAAGAGTTATTACGTCACAACGTATACTTCAGCGGAATATCAAAACAACGGCCCGGGGTGCAAAACGCATCAATGAAAGCGACCCTCTACCACACAAAACAACACCTGTAAATAACCCAATTTGTGTTCTTTGAAATTGAAAAGGATATTGCATTGTGTTTGTTACTTTCGTTGCAGTTGTTTATATGTCTTAAGTGTAATTTGGCTTGGCTTCCTATTTTGTATGGACATGCTTATTGCTATGGAAACAACGTGACGGAGAAAAGCTTCACAGCGGGCGGAACTTGTCATAAAGTCCGCGATAATAAAACCCACCCATTTGGAGGGAAGATATGATTGGTCAATTGTACTGTCATTTGACATTCCTCTCTCGTTCAGTTACTATAGCGGGCCCTCTGTGAATTTACAGCAGGACCACCAATCAGCTCCTATCTTCACCTTGCGGAGACGGCTAAAGGAGCTTCTTTCATTTAACCCTTCACATTCCAATAGAAATTGATTAGGCAGATTCGAAGGATTTATTTATTTGGAAATGTTATTTCAAATACAATTAAATCAAGTTATTTTGGTAAAACTAATGGAAAATCTTTTTTTTTTTTAAATCTTTAAAAAACATATAGGCTATTAAATGTTTATAAATATTATTTTGTAGAATATCTTAGGCCCTGACGGCTCGCCACTGGTTAATGAGGTCAATCTTAAACGCAGCTTTATTATTGATCAGTCAAAAGTCCTTCAAAATTAACTTACTAGGTCTTAGAGCAAATGTTTTTTTTTATTAAAAATCGAACGAGGCGAAGTGTAATAAATTCATTAATAATTGTATCTTGAAAATACTGAAGCAGAGAGAGATACTTAAAGTAAGAAAAGGGAGAGGTCATGTTTAAAAAAAACTTTGAAATAACCGTTTGCATTAATAAAATGCTTTTCTCGTAGCTCAGCCCATTTGGGTCTAATGTTTCAGCTGTGATGAATAATGAAAGCATTCTCCTTTGCTGAGGAGACGTGTGTGTGTGTGTGTGTGTGTGTGTGTGTGTGTGTGTGTGTGTGTGTGTGTGTGTGTGGTGTGTGTGTGTGTGTGTGTGTGTGTGTGTGTGTGTGTGTGTGTGTGTGTGTGTGTGTGTGTGTGTGTGTGTGTGTGGTGTGTGGTGTGTGTGTGTGTGTGTGTGTGTGTGTGTGTGTGTGTGTGTGTGTGTGTGTGTGTGTGTGTGTGTGTGTGTGTGTGTGTGTGTGTGTGTGTGTGTGTGTGTGTGCGCATGCCCGCCCCCTGCCTCTGATTTGGCTTTCCCTACTCGAAGGAACATCTAACAATCATTCCAGCGAGTATAATCCCTCTATCACACACTCCTACACTTTTGTGGTGCGATAACCCACAAACACCATCACATTTCTAAATTAACTTTCAAGTTGTGTTTCCAGCCATTTTTTACTTTAGTTTACCTGTTTTCGAATTCGGCTTCGCTTCCAACTTACTGACTATAAATGACTCAGACTCAATGCAGTGAATGAATAAATATGTTTTTAAAAAGGGGCCTGTGGCACCGGGGCCAATCACAACCTTGTTACGCCACTGGTGTGAGAAGTACCCAGAATGCTTTTCACATTTTCCTCTAATTGTTTGACAGTGGTTCTGCTAATTTCACACAGAATGTATAGAAGAATATTAGGTCATTTTGGTATTATGAATTAAGTAGAAAGCATTTTACAGACCGTGAAGCTGGAAGGTAGTAACCTTTTCTGAAGACATTAAAATAAAATGTCTATAGTTTATATTAATTAAGGAGGGTACAGAGAGAAATGGGAGTTCATGTTGTCTGTATTTTGCAATATATTTTGCAACACAGCGTTGTAAAACAAAATTAGATCAGATTAGATAAGATTGTATTTACTTTATTTATCCCAAATTGGCAAAATTGTTTTGTCACAGTAGCAGAAAGTTAACAGATATTCCACATGAGTCAAAACAAATTAATATAATAAAAAAAATACAAATAGAAAAAATTAAAGATAAACATAAACAGTAAATATATACACATCAACAGTAGAAATTATATATATTGATAGAGAATATCTAAATAATACACAATATAAAAATACTGAATAAATGTGTATACTCTATAATAGACAAAACTAATACAAAACTGAAAAATATAGATATATGATACTGTAAACATTACGCAAGTTTTTTTATAAACATTTAAAATATCCAATAAGGGAGCATGAGCACAATATGTACAATATGTGAAAATGTCCAAGCTCGTTAAAAGGGATAAACAGTTGTATCTCATTATCCTACAACAGTTATCAAAAAATACCAAACTCGTTTTTTGGTGGAGTTTGGAGTTCTTCATTTGTCGCCTGAGGAAAGAAACTGCTCTGTAGTGTGAGGGTAAGACAGTGAATACTTCTGCAAGTCTTGCCAGACAGCAGTAAGATGTACCGGTGTGACTGGGTGGTATTTGGGCTCTTTGCAGGCACCACTTCTCCCCAATATCATTGACGCTCAGTAGATGGGTACCAATCATGTTCTGTACACTTTTAATCACCTGCTGCATTTCCTTCCTGTTCTCGGCTGTGCACTTACCATCCAAGTTTGTCATATTTTCTGTCAGTTCGCCTTCTCTAGCTCCTCGGTAAAAGTTAACTTTTTTTAGGTTTTGCTAAAAAACACAGCCGTTTTTCACCAGGATGCCTAGGTGTGTTATTACTATGTCAGGTTGTCTGTGAAGGAAACTTTAAAGTCTCATAGCTGCTTCAAATCTGGTAGATGATCGTAGTGTAATACAAAACCTTAACAACAGCGAATCTTCCATGTCTGCAGTCATGGATGTTCAACATGAACAGGAGTGGGCCGAGAACACAGCCGTTTTCAATAGAGTAAAGGAAATGTGACCACCAATCTGAACTGCCTGATGTCTGTTTGGGAGGAGGTCCAAAATCCAGATAAGTGTGCCAATAAGTATCATGGGCAATATTAAATTGAATGCTGAGCTGAAATCAACAAACATCCTCATAATGGGAGCAGTTGTTATTTTCAAGATGTTTGAGGCTGAGGGTAGGGCAGTGAAGAAGGCATCCTCTGTGGGTGTGAATGGAGAACAACTGAAGGGCGTCCTTTGACAGAATTTTTGACAGATTTTGGAGCCATTTTGAAGGTTTTGGTGAAACGGGCTATGTTGTACAAACTAATCATGCTGTTTGGTCACTCCCTATATTACCCCTCTTCTGCTGAAATCCAGTTGAGTTCCGTGCTGGGGCTAGTTTGGTTCGCAGTTGGTTCAACTTGCATACAACTTAAGAACCAGTTAGTTGTTCAACCAACTAGAGCCAGAGAGGTGATTATCCCTCACAAAAACCACAATGACAGACTACGCTAGAGATGTGCTAAAGTTGCTTTTGAATGTTGCCTGGATGAATTGCAAGCACCTCTTCTCCAACTTAAAGGAGACCTATCATGCTATATTTGAATAATATATTGTAGGGCCATACCTATATAAGGTATATTTATACGTTTTCTTTTTCAAAATACCAAACAGATCATGCATTTTAGCCATGCCTCATTTCGCTCTATTTTGCTCTCCTCCACCCTGTCTTTGCATGCGCTGCAGCTGACCACGCCCCCCTGCAAAGGAGGGGGCCGAGTTACGAGCGTCATGTTACCATGCTGTTACCATGCCACGGCAACCTCTCATTCCCCTGATTGGTGGAGAGAGAGTTGGCCATATAGGCGGAGCTCCTCGTCACTGACGTCAGACTATTTTCAAATCTGTATCAGTCTGTATCAGATCCGTTGCAGCCCCGTTTTTAGAGATTTTAGGTATGGAGGAAAAGAGAGAGGGTTGTGTTTTCTGACACTTGGTGAGTTCCCTGACACACCGGGGACACATATTCATGTATAAAAGACGTACAAAGGTGCATTTTGCATGATAGGTCCCCTTTAATCTCTTCTCCAGAGTGACATGGCTAATAGTATGCTGCTATTTTTCAGCATTTTCCAACCGGTGTAGTGATTTACAGCTTGCGCTCCACTGGCGTATAGCCTACCGTCTGCTAACTACAGCTGACTGTCTCACCACCAGTAACGTCCCCTGCTGCATATTTCCTCAGAAATGTATTTTTGTCCGCTTTAAAGTAACAATTTTTGGCACAGTAAATACAGGATTGTATAATGTTACATTTCTTTTGTTATATAGAGGATATTAGCATAGCCACCAAAGCACTCTTGATCACGTAAATCGAGCCCCAGCCCCTGACTTATGCGGCTTTTTGTTCTTTGTGCTGGCCGAGCTGGTAGTTGGTGCTGGAGTTGAACCAGTTTTTGGTGTTGCCGCGTTTGAAACACATAAAAACTGTTTCGCAATCTGGCACCGGCTCCCAACTGGAACCATGAACCACCGCATTGGAAAAGGGCCTACCCACCAGCTCCCCAGCCCATGCCCTATCTGGCACACATTGTCTCCACCGAAAACGTGCTTCTCTTTCTCTATCCTTTTGGCAGTTCTGTTGCATTTGTTGATTGCGAGACCTTTGGAGGTTGGAAAGGCTGCTTGGACCCTCCGCCCCCTCACCTCCCACGCCTCCCGCTCTCTGCTCTTCCCTGTCACTTGCTTGGCTACATACTAACTCGCTGCAGGAGGATAATTAGTCAAAGTGATTTGCTGCATCCCCCCCACTCCCCCACTCTCTTTTGCCTGCATCTGCTTAGCACAGCTTGGCATGGAAGTCATGGAAATGTCAACACTCGTGCCGTTTGTTTCTCTCCTTTTAGACATGACAGTATACACACACCAGGTGAAATAGACACAACAGATTTGTAGTTTGTATCTGCCCACTTTGGAGTGAACCAATGAATCGAATATAACGGAGGAAAATATATGTGCTTCACATTATGTCAGATCATGCCTCAATCAATTTGACTGTCATTTTAATTGGTGTAGGAACATTTAAAGTCTTGAGCACATTTTTGTCCAGGAAATATCATTAACAGTCTTTTATTGTAAAAAAATATAAAGACGCAATAAGGAATTTCCAAAATAAAAGACGATTATTGAGTTGCCGTCAGTAACAGTTAGGATTTAAGGTGGAGATCCTGTTTTCATGGATGCTTTAAATGCAGGCCGCACTTTACCCTACGGGATAGAGTAAATACATGTAATTAGAAAACAAATGAATATAAACAAAGAGTTTTTCTGTGAATAAATGATTGTTTACACATCATGCATGGCTGCTCTTGCTTAAAATTAATAAAAGTCCAGCCCGAAACATTGAAATAAGTTTCATGCCAGCTGTGAGCTCCAGAGTAATCTGATGTATCATTGTGCTTTGTCAGAGAATGCAGGTTTGTTTGGAGACAAAAGGACATCAGTGAGGTTGTTGAGCAGCTAGGAGTATATGTAGGCAAAATGCTAAATGAATAATTTATTTGGGGTTAAGGAGCCGCAACAACCCTGCCGTTGACATTTGTTGGAATGCCATTATTTCCTGTTATCTCTCGACTTTTAAATAACACACAAATGGAACTCCATTCATCTCAATCACATTGAAATGGATGTTTGACAAATCAAATAAAAACTAATTGCATGGCTAGAAACAACAAGTCGGAAAAGCTATCTTGATATGTTTTGGTCCGTTGGGGGAACCAACCCTTTAATATTTATTTAATACGTTAATCTATTAAAATAATTCAAACTCAAATTCTGATGGAACACAATCTTCACAAAAGTCACACAACAACCATTGGAACAAATAAGGGGGTTTTAACAGTTCATTTTATTCCGAAATTGTTCACACATTCTTTGCCCGTAGTAAAATCGAGCAGAGCAGTGATTTACTGACTTGTGAACAGTGGTTGGATTGAGAACACCCACCACGCTTGGGATCCTCTCCTATTATCCCACGCCCATTCACAGGATTATTACAGCAAGGTTCATTTGTGTCGGGCAGGATTACCAACGCCTTGCATCTTCCTTTATGCTTCTTTTCATAGCTAGGTGGTCATTGTGTGTTTGTGTGTGTAGCAGTTATCTCTATAAGGTTTCTGCAGTAGTCTTGTGGGAAAGCAGGCAGTACTACTTGTATTCCAAAATGTCCTGAGGCAAAGTTTTTGAATCTGCATTGTCTACAATTCTTTATTTGGAGTTCTTTATCTGTGGATTCAAATAAAGAACTTGTACACACAGTATGTGTGTTATTTGTGGTTAAAGGGATTACTAAGTAATTGTATCGAAGTGTGAAGACAAACCAAAATAAATATCCTGTGCAAACGCACATCGAAAAGGCTTGGGTTGTACAAAATGATACATTTGATTGGCTGTTGAGTTGGTATGTGAATACTTACTGGTGTATGGTTGTCTTGCTACAGCTCTACAGCTCGGTGGAGTTTGGAAGGAGATGGCAGGTGGTTCACGAGAGAGTGGCTCCCAATCGCTTCTACTGGTAAGTACAGACATATGGACTTTCACTAGCAATGTTATTTAAAGATTTAATGAAGGAGGTCCAATGAATGGATGTTGGGTGGGGGGTTAAAGGCGCATTCCCGCTGGTAGAATAAGACATTCAGAAATATTGCAGAAGTTGAATGGGAAAGCATTAGAGGAGATGGGTACAGAGGGTGAAGGGATGAAGGGCCTGAGGGGTGAAGGGAAATAGGGTTGAAGGGATAAGGTGAGTTAGGGTTGAACTGATTTAGGGATGAATGGATGATGGGGTTGATGAGGTTGGTGAAGTTATGTGGGTGAGGATGAAGGGATGTGGGAATGTGGGGGTTAATGGGTGGAGTGGTCAAGGGGTTTGCATGATACCTGGTACCTGTCTTTGTGAATACGTTTGTAAATTGTACCCCTGTCATTATGTTGTATGTGTCCTTTTTGTTTTCTGTTACATGTGTAACCAATGTGCGGCAGGTCTCCCTTGTAAAAGAGATTGTTGATCTCAATGGGATATTTTACCTGGATAAATAAAGGCTACAAACAAACAAATGATGATGAAGGGCTGAAGGAAGTGTGGGATGAAGGGTTTTCTGGATAAAGGGGTCGATGGGCATGGGGTTAACGATGTTGTTGAGGATGAATGAATGAAGGGAGTAAGTGATGGAGGTATGCAGGGAGGAGGGGAGTAAGGTATTAAGGAATGAGGGGAGGTAGGGATGTAGGGATGAAGGGGTCAATGGGTGTAGGGGTGAAAGGATGTGGGTGAGGATGAAAGGATGTACTGTAGGGATCGATGGGTGAAGGGATGCAGGGATTTGACTAAGGTTGAGGTAGGACAAAAAAGCAACATAGTTGCCAATATAATGATACAAATAATGCTGCTGACAAGCTAACTGGTTAGCATCCTAAGCTAATGTAACAATAATGGTAATGTTTACGTATACACGCTGACACTACAGCTTAAGACAACAGCCACATTTTTCATTCTAACCACCTCACAGCTAATACTGTTTATTTAGCTAGCAGGCAAAATGTGAAGGCGACATTAGTCATTAGTCATATTGTTTAAGTCAAATCTTTTTTTGACTAAAGGTCTTCTAGGATGTTAATGAACATGAATAAAGACAATTACTCTGGCACTTTTGCAACGCTTTTTATAAATCAGCTTTTATTTGATTAATTCGAATTTTAAGGTTAAGACATTTTTACATATGCGCACAGGATTGGCCCATTGTTAGGAAAGCATAGGAAAACTATACTTCCTGATAACACAAAACTAAAAGACTGAACAACACTATGGAATCTTGAACATACTGTAAATATGTTCTTAACACACTCACAATAATTGCGTGACAACAACTCTTATGTTAAACTAATCTAATGAAGAGCACTTTTGACATTGTGAATGTCCTCGACAGACTACATCTTCTCCACAAAGGGAGGAGCATTTGAGCCAGAGAGGTTTTTAAGATTTGTATTATTCATGTGTCTGACATGCTTGATCTTGCTCTTTGGCAGACAGTTACATTATATGACCGACAGTGTTCAGCTGTGGTGAGAGGCTTCAATCTGAGTCTTGCTATCCTTTGAGACGAAACAAAGTATACAGAGATTCAAACCATCCAATGGTTCCTCTCAGCAAGGCCCTATTTCGATGTGTATCTTGAATTGTTCCATAGTTATTGTTTAATCACTTCAGATTAAAGGTCACCTATTATGCAAAATCCACTTTTGCATGTCTTTTATACATCAACATGTGTCCCCTCTGTGTAAAGACATTCTGAAAGTTTCAGGAAAAAATATTTGCTCACTTTTTGTCCTGATCCATTTATATAAAAACCTGTCTGAAAATGAGCTGATCAGATTCAATCAATCAATCAATGTTTATTTATATAGCCCAATATCACAAATGTTACATTTGTCTCAGTGGACTTCACAGTTTGTACAGAATATCAGTATGACAATACAGAAAGATTTTGGCCACTTTATGATGTCATACCGATTTTTTGGCTTTTGTAACCATTAGCCAATAACCAACCAAAGTAACCTCCCCCCCACCTTATCACCTGAATCTCCTCCTAGAGCACCATTGTGTTCTTTTTAACCAAATATCTTTCATCTAAAGTAACAGACAGAGAATCAGCACTTTTGAAACAGGGCTGAAACAGAGGGGATTATGGGATGCTACAATGGATGATCTGTTTGGTATTTCGAGCCAAACACACGTTTTTTGTATATATCTGAGACCTATAATATATTGATGAAAAACAATATAATAGGGGACCTTTAAGTCTTACAAAACGTTTAACTGTTACATCTACCATTAGGGTTCCATGCTTTAGAGTCTTTCCCTCAGCTAAATGGTCTCAGGCCACAGGTAGTATCCAACTCACAGGAATCTACCATGTCTGGCCTCTATACAATAACTAACAGTAACAAAGGATTTTGCCTCAACAAACTGTCAGGGTGGTAACAAGCTGGGCAGCCAGGAGTGAAGGGAGCCTGGAGTGCTGATGCTGCAGAAGCTGTCAGAGTTCTATTTTGGGACACGACTGTGTGGTAGGTGTGGTGCTAGCCCTGGTAATGAGGCTGCAGAGCGAGCTTATGTCTGCCGTAAATGAGGCCACCCAACATGCAAAGAAGACGAAGAAGCTCATTTTCGATTTGGTCAACCTGAGCAGTTCTTGGTCACGCAGCACAGGTCAGCTTAAGTGGAACTAACCTTCACTCATTGAGCTATAAGCTAGTTAAACCGTGGAATGTCTCGCATATGACACAACACATCTCTACAAAACATCTGGAGCTGCCTGAATGTCATATTTTCAGAAGGGTATTGTTCCACCTGGTGTGACATCTTTTCTCCTCAAAAACCAAACAGCTGTCCAAACTAATGTCGTACACACACAGAGAGACACTACTGTAAGCTGTCAACCCTACAAGCTAAGTGAGCTTCCCATCACTTAGCGGTAAAACCCCACAAACCATATAGCTGCTTTTACTCAAAGGGTTATTCTTTTCCTGCCGCACACTGTTCTTGGCACCTGAATGGATTATTCAGTGGGAATGCAAATGCGGTTTGGATAAGTAGACTATCCTATTCAAAGTTGTGTTTCATCTTGGAAATCCCTAATACTACCAATAAGTATAATGATTAGGAGCCATAGTGGTCTCTCACTGTGCCTGCTCCTCATTCACCTCACACAGGCAACCTTTATTCCTTTTTCTCTTTATGCGTGTGCTACCTGCTCCCCCACCCAGCTCTCCCTCCATGTGTGTGCTGCCTTTGCCTTTCCTCTCATCCCCCAGTCTTTTTAATACATATTTAATGCCGTAATGATTATATGCTATTCCATCTGTGGACATCCCTACTGTAGAGGGAAAATCAATGGCTTCTCCTCTACTAATGATGTCAGGAAACGTCTTCTTCCATTCGTCTAAGGGGGGGAAAAGGACCTTCTGGGAGCTATAAACATTTAGATCACACAGTAAACCCCCAGGTCATTTTTGCTCACACTTTAAAGTGCCATCAACAATGAAGAAAAGGCAATATCTAACTGATGTTTACCACAACTGCCATAGCACTTGTCTTAACCTCTCTTTAGTTACATTTGTATGACTTTGCAGAGTGCAATCCATCAGGTCAGGTTGCTGCTACAGTCCGCCTGAAGGCAAAATACCGGTGGTGATGTTCCTGAAACACATTTGTCTGCCTTTCAGGTCGAAAATGGGTTTGGACAAAGAGCCGGGCTTAATTCACCTGGAAACCAGCATCTCTGAAGGACGTGAGTAATTGAATTCCGGGTTCAGAGCTCCATTTTCCTGTGTCTTTGTACTGTATCCTGAGCAGTGTGCTAAAGTAGAGGGGAATTGGGAGTTGTGTAGAGAACTCGGATAAAGAGTAGTGCAAGGGGACAGCAGAAATGGTCGAGTCCGGGGACAGACAATGACAACGGAGGAAAAAGTAATGCATATATTAGAGTGCTTTTAAAAGCAACTGATTTAGCTCATACTACAAAATAACTATAATAATGGGATATTATGGGTTGATAAATAGTATTTGGTTAAGTGAGTCTAATTTAATAATGCTTAGAAAAAATGTAGTTATTATTATTATAAATATATTCATTATACTTTTATTAAACTATATATTATTCTTATTACTATTATTATTGTATTAGTCCACTGCTTCTCAAAGTGTGGTCCGCGGACCACTGGTGGTCCGTGAGGGCCCCCTAATGGTCCGTGAGTATATTGGTAAAATTTCACATTTTAAATAAATAAATAAAAGTTGTCTGCACTCTCGCGGAAATATCTCTGCAATGGAGCGAGCTTAAGTTTCACGTTGGATTGCATGATATAGCCCAGCGCAACACCTTCATCACACATGTTGCCACTTGTTTGTACCATTTTCAGGCGATTTATAATCTGTTCTAGAAAAACGATGTGATTTTGGATATTTGTGGAGTTAGGTCAGGCATGGGCAAACTAAGGCCCGCGGGCCATCCCGTTGGGCTTTTTAATACGGCCCGCCGAATATTGGTACAAAATTGTCCAAATTATAGTAAAGACCGCATTCATTTTGCCTTTTTCCTGCAATACCCAGCATTTCAGTTGATCCCACTAGATGGCGCACTCTAGACACAATTGATCTTTGCTGGAGTCGGCAACCTGGCAAGATCAAAGAACCAAATACGTCACGCTTACGTTGGAGGGGGTCGAGATTAACCTGAGCAATAACAGTTCATAGCGAGTACAGCGAATACAAGTTGTAACAAGCAGTAGCGCTGAGCAAAGTGACTAGAACGCGACCACACACTTATTAAAAACACTTATATAAAGTCAGGCAAGAGGCAACACTAACCAGGCTTAGTGTGATTCTGTTTATTTTACCTTACTTTAATGACCATCCGTTCGCTGTTATTGATCATTGTGAAGAGGCAGATGTTTTCCTGTTGTTTTGTATTATTGCAGCTATCGGATGGAATCAATACATGGGCTACATGTGGCCATCACAAGTAAAATCATAACGAAAACTACGCCGGTAAAATATGCGTGTAGATAACGGCTTATGCCACAAAATGATAGCATCAAGTAGTCAAGATAGTCTGATTAGCTTCGGTTGCTATGCTAACATCACCTGTAGAATGCCAGAGAAACTTTCATAACAGCGTTGTGATGCCAAACAGCGTCAATTCAGACTGAAACACATTCACTGATGGGGATGGCGGATATTTATCAGCTGCTTGTCTGACAGTCGGACAGTGAATACTTTACAGCGGCCGTTGCCACGAGTTAACAGTTGACTAAACTCCGGTGGACGAGCAGCACTGCAGCAGGCAGTAATGCAGCTGCACCACATTAATAAACAATGAACCACGGCACTCTGGAGAAAAGTATATGGTTGGAGAAGTCGTTCTTTAATTTAATCTAGCTTCGTATGATTAAAAACTACCCGACGCAGTCCTCTAATGATGTTGTTGTGAGCGGTGTTGCGGAGAAAATCAACGACGTAAAACGCTGTGTGGGTCATAAAAAGGCATGTAAATGGTTATGTCATGACGCAAACGATGACGCAATAATTCACCTTTGAACCTAATTCACCTTTGAACCTGCATCTGAAACAATGAGTGGCCCAAAGAAAAGAAAAGTCGACATTGAGTGCAGTGTTTAATGAGGAGTGGACAGCTAAATATTTTTTCACCGATCTGCTACTGGCCCGGCCCGTCTGACACATTTTAAAACTCATAGTGGCCCCCGAGCCAAAAAGTTTGCCCACCCCTGAGTTAGGTGGTCCACGAGTGTTTTTTTATTGGTGAAGTGGTCCTTGGTATGAAAAAGTTTGAGAAACACTGTAATTAGTCGGAGTCAAAATAATGATTTGGGTGCATTGTTATTTTCATTTTTGTAATTATAATAATGTTTATACTATGATTATACCTTATTATACTATTTATTATATATTATTATTATTATAATGTTGAGTGTCTGAAAAAAAATTGTTTGTTTGAATTATTTTTTATTAATGCAAGTATTATAATTTAGACATTGTAAGTATACTTTAATATTATTACTATTATTATTATTATGAATTTTTGGCAAATTAGGCTTCAGTGTTGTCAAAGCTTGACCCATACCAGGGTTTGAAAGTCAGGATACCTCAGTCCCTACTACAATTTAGACCCTTACATTTTAAAAGCTGTATCTTTTCACCCTAACTTTTGTACAGATAACTGTTGTTGGAGTTTCCCTTTAATGAATAAATGTTGGATTATTTTTCTTAGCTTTCAGAAAGTCCATTAAGCATCAGTGCCACTGTTCTGTCAGAACACTTACACAATAGAGAAATGCCAATCATGCAAACAGACGAAGCAAACACCAGTGTTGTCAGATATTACGGTTGCACACACAGCCACAGACTATCACTATTGATCATGTGCTTGCAAACAAAGCAGACATATATTTGGCAGAGGCTAACGTGTGGGGACAGGCTCTCACCCAGCACTGCGATTGAAGGCAAAGAAAGCAATTGGCCTCTCCGGTCATCTGTCTTCCCCCTCTGCTGCCCCCCCCCTCACTGGGACCACTTTATTGACACGAGTAATGTAGGAGGCCAAAAGAAGCCGCTTGGCTCTGGGTGAAGGCTGCCTTTCTTCATTGGCTAATACCATCACTGATGCCATGGCTTGACGTGTGTGTGTGTGTGTGTGTGTGTGTGTGTGTGTGTGTGTGTGTGTGTGTGTGTGTGTGTGTGTGTGTGTGTGTGTGTGTGTGTGTGTGTGTGTGTGTGTGTGTGTGGTGTGTGTGTGTGTGTGTGGTGTGTGTGTGTGTGTGTGTGTGTGTGTGTGTGTGTGTATGTGGTGTGTGTGTGTGTGTGTGTGTGTGGTGTGTGTGTGTGTGTGTGTGTGTGTGTGTGTGTGTGTGTGTGTGTGGTGTGTGTGGTGTGTGTGTGTGTGTGTGTGTGTGTGTTGTGTGTGTGTGTGTGTGTGTGTGTGTGTGTGTGTGTGTGTGTGTGTGTGTGTGTGTGTGTGTGTGTGTCTGGAGCAGAGGCGCTGTATGTCACCTGCAAGCTGCAAAACTGCACAGATGCCAACAAGGGCAAACCATTCCCGGGCTACATTGACCCCAATTCTCTGGTGGTGCAAGATGAGTATGTGTTTGTCCAGGTGAGTAATTGTCCAGTTTGCTCAATGAACAACATTATAGCAATGTATGAGGCAGAAAGTATTTTGTAGGACATTTTCCAAGGTCATTCTAGGAGAGATGCTATTAGTGCAGCTTTATGTGTTGCTGTGGTGTCTCCAAAATGTTTTCACTCAACGGTTTCATCACTTTAAGGTGTCAGCCGCGGGGAGGCCAATCTACTATGTGTCTGCTAAAAGAGATGTCTTCACACCAATGAAGCTACCCAAGTACACACTGCCCAAGGTAAACACACCGCCTGATTAGAATTCAACTAACAAGATCTTGATGATTAAAAAATAATGAATGGATCATTGGTATTGATCCCAATCCTATCATAGGTCACCAATAATGTACAAAAGATGAAAAAAGGAACATATTATGCTTATTTTCAGGTTCATATCTGTATATTTTAAAAAGTACTTTATTTTTCTCCTACTGCTTATGATGCATCATCAAGCCCCTCATTAGGGTCTTAAAGTTGTAAAATGCGCTAAAAGAGAAGTTCAGAGTTATTTTCCCTTTACATTAATTTGACTGAGCCAAGTGAGAGCGAGATTTGAGGCAGGGTATAAGGAAAACTCAAGTGCACATGATCTATTGGCCCAGATACGGGTACATTTTGAATCTACAGTCACTCAATTCTGGGCTTCATTTGCTACTGAGCAACTTTAATAGGACTTAACGAGGCCATTCTCCGACGCTGTATCCAGTTCTCTTTATACATTCATGTGCAGCACCTCTTTTCACCATCTGAATGAAACGATAGCCCGGTCTGCTCTGATTGGTTAGCTGGCTGGCACTGATGTTAGTGGTCAACTGCTTAGAGATGTGCCGGAAATGTCCCGCCCCTTAGCCTATCACGTACATTATGTTGGAGCGCTAGCCAATAGAAGCGCAAGTGTTACTTATCGATGTCAATTTGTAACTGAAGTAAACAAGGGCCAATGGAGGCATCCAGGCAGGGGGTTGAGTGTGTGGGAGAGAATTTGGGGAATTTAGCCTTTGCAGACCATTTATATGCACTAAAAACTATATAAAACACTACAGGAAAGGGAAACCCCTAAAAGCACAAAAGGGCCTCTTTAAGATTTAGTTAATCCTGCAGTTTGTCGACTTTTTATGCAATCAATGGCAGATAATACTTCCAGCTTTGTTCGCTGAAGTTGCAGTGAGGCGTCACTTCATCGCTGTCTCCGCCTGACACTCCCCCACTTTGTTATTTATGGACAAATCAAGGCCAAAAGTAACTCTCACAGTGTTTCCAGAATTGTTATTCCGTGCGGCTCAGTGTACGCATGGCCCTGGCTTGTCACGTCCCCATTGACAATTAGACATGTTTTATTCAATCAAGCCCCAGGCGCCCCGGTTGCTGTCGGCTCACTGCGAGGTGTTTTTTGGCACAGTCAGAGGTAGATGAAGCGCGCAACCAAACAGCATGGCCTCAGCTGCATAATCTCTGCCCAATAAGCCTGACAAAGGTATAACGATTGTAGTATCCTCTTAGTTAAAATATGGGAAAATCAGAAGATGAGGCTATTCTGATTATTGACTATGATTAAACCCAGCATGGGGGCAAAAACAGTAAACAATGTAAAAGCTTGGATATTTCACTTTGAGAAACAAAGATTGTGTTTCTGATTGTAATGGGCACATTAAAATCAACTTCAGAGAGTTTTTTTTTTCCGGTTAGCTGATTATATATCCTATTCATTTTGGAATAAATAAAGGATTATATTTAAAAGAAGGTGCCTTTCATTTAAAGTTACACTATGTTCAATGTTGAGAATACAGTAAACTATAGAATTACGGCTGCCAGCATTACACATACTGCATTCTGCTCAGTTTCCTGATAAAACAAGTATATTTGTCATTTTAAAGAGGCCCCATCATGCCTCTTGGGGTTTGTACCTTTCCAGTGAGTTTTGATGTTCCGTGTGAAGTGTTTGTGCATGTAAATGGTCTGCAAAGGCTAAAATCCCAAACTTCCCTCCCTAGGGAGTTTCTCTCCCACACACTCAATACACATCACTATGTAACACTCGCGCTTCTATTGGCTAACATTCCAATACATTGTACGTGATAGACTAAGGGGGGGAGACATCTCTAAGCGGTTGACCAATCACAACCGAGCCATCCAGCTAACCAATCAGAGGAGACTGTGCTCTGGTTTCAGACAGAGGGTGAAAAGAGGTGCTGCAGCACAGGCAGTATGAGGAAAATAAAGACCTTTTTGAACATCAAAGCATGGAGACATGTCACAGTAGAGACACACAATTAAAATATGAGGCTGAAATTGAGCATTGATGGCCGCTTTAAGAGATTCAGTACATGTTCAAAACGAAATACATTTCAAGTTATAACAACCTTTTTTTTCTAATGAAATACCAAATTATTTAAAAGAAAATTAGCTGTTGAAACAAAATATGGCTACACTTTATTTTAATTTAAACAACACAAAAATCTCTTATAAACAGGAAACACATATCTTACATGACAGCATTATAAAAAAAAAATGCCTAAAAGCCTGTACATAAAGCAAAACATAATAAAAGGGAATATTTAAGGACTATAATACACTGTGGTAACCTGTTACATTATGTCTCATACCCTACTGGTATTAACGTTGCCTCTCTTCCAGGACCTGCATGTGATCAGCACAGATGAGAACCGTGTGGTTGCGGCAGTACAGGAGTGGAACCAGAACGAAACCTACAACCTGTACGTGTCGGACACGTCGGGGGTGTACTACACCCTGGCTCTTGAGAACGTGGTCAGCAGCATGGGCCACGAGGGTAACGTCATGGTGGACCTCTATGAGGTAAGCAAACATGACTCTGTTTTAGTTTTTGATCAGTTTACCGCACATCCCCAACGTCCCAACGCAACCTCTTGCTGTGTTCTTTCTGGCCAATTTACTCTTTTTATATAACACTATCAAATAAAGGCGTGCTTGATGGGTGCTCAGCCTGCAAGTTTAATATGAACACTGATCAATATTTTATAGCTGGGAGGCAGAGATGATGAAATGTACTTGTTTTGTCACTTTGGAAACAACCCCTGCTGCTGTAGGCCTACAGTCTTCACAGTGCATTGTGTGAATACGAAGTAGCTTCAAAGTGCTGACACTAACAAAAGTAAAAGGGGGGGATTGTGCCAGGGATATGGATTTTTGTAAGGCTGAGATTATTTCTTTCTTTGATGAATAACTGCAGATATTACTTCACAAAATGCACCTAATCCAAAATGGAAAAAAAGTGTGTTGGGGGCTAATGTTGAAGCTTAGTTATTGGGATTTTAAAGACATTGCCGCACTAGCTGAAAGTATATCTCTCTATCTGAATCATATAATTAAGCTGTTGATGATGCTGCTCATGTCTTGCCGTGGCCTTGGCGTTCAAATCAAATCCACTGCCTTGATTGGGGTCGCCACCCAAAACGTAGGATATGCTAAATCTCTCCTCCAAGGGAGATTGAAGTATCTGTCAATTACTAAAGTGGAGTTTCATCGGCTCATGCGACTGTCACTGACTCAATTCAGTAGCCCTGAGCTATTCCTAGGGCCCTCCAACAAGGAGTCAGATTCATTTAAGACACACATTGATTACTCAAAAGTCCCCAGACAGTCAATCATTTCCCACTCAGTGTTTGTTTTTTGTTGGGAATACAGAATAGGTAAGCTGTTGCAGGGTTAGGATGGTTGATTTAAAAATGTATTCTGTTGCAATTACAAGTGACCTGCAAGAAAATATAACCTAATCTGAGTATCACAATATAAAAGTAATGTAACCTGATTACTTTCCGTTTGTTTTGGGCAGTAGTTTATACACCAACAACGAAACACATGAGCACATACTAGAGTTTAAAAAAGCAGAAATAGCTGAGCTGACAGAAAATGCTCCGTTCTAATTTATAAAAATAATAAAATTCAATAACGTGCTTTAACCACTAGGTGTCCCTTTCTATCAGCTGTGCACCGTTATGGCGTAAATATAACCTATCTACCAATTGGATCAAATATAAAAGTCAGCCGAATTAGTATTGATACTGCAAGGAGACGTATTGTGTGAAAAGAAATGTAAGATGTTGTTTAATTGCTGATATATTTATGATCCACGTCACGTTTTCAGTTTAGGCGGCAGTTCTTCCTGTTTGTCCAGAAGTCTTCTCATCAGGGCTCTATAGAGTTAACTACGGCAGATATGTAATATTTAATGCAGCCGAACCGTGTATTACAATGCCGTTATGTGATGACTTTCAAAGAGAAAAGCAAGCACACTCGGAATAAAGTATTATTTTATTTTTTTTAAATGTTTTCGGATTTCACATCGCATAAACACCATATCCCAACGTGCATTGCGGCTAAACCATCCAATCACCGAGCTGAGGATCTTGCCTACGTCTGTTTCCGGTATTGTTTATGACGGATGTATTTTGTTATACACACATTCCTTCACATTTAAATTTGAATTTACATTAAAATGTTTTTAAATATAACTACGGTTCTAGTTGAAGAGTTTGTAAATTAACATGAACCCAAGCTGTTGCCTGGCAACGCAATCGCACAACGTCACGTCCGTTAATTCCACACACATGGATTAACATCGATTTAATACATTAATATAGCCTTTCTTTCTGCTAAAAGAGGTGTCGACCAGCTGGGGCAACACGAAAATCGGCGAAATCGAGTGTAACTATTACAAAATAAATCATTATTATATTAATATTGACAATAACAACCGACCGTCGGGGTAGCATTTGCTTGGCATTTCCGGATATTTCTCCACTGGTTGGGCCATGTTAACAATACCGTGTAACTCACGTTTGAAGGGACGAAATCGTGACATCTTCACGTCTCCCAGCATGGTAGATCGTCACATGTTCACGTCTTGCCGTGATACCGGGTTGGATTAGAGATGCAGCTTTATCTTCATATTAAGCATCTTGCTGCAAAAATAACACTGTTTCTTGCTGTTTATGCCTTTTCATGTAACTGTAGGGGAATACAGTTACCGTTTTGTGTGTCCTGATTACGTAATCTCGTAACACCCCAAGCCTGAGCATGTGTGTGTATTTTCTGCATTGTGACTCAAAGATACAGAAATGCTTACTATCTTTTGGACATGTGAAGTCTGTTTTCAATCGGAGCTGTCTAATTCCCCAGGTAGCTGGAATAAAGGGGATGTTCCTCGCCAACAGAAAGATGGATAGCCAAGTGAAGACACACATCACCTACAACAGAGGCAGAGACTGGAGCCTCCTGCAAGCCCCGAGCAAAGACCTGAGGGGCAACAGCATCCACTGTGAGCTGGTAAGCATCTCCGTTCATACATGTTTTTGTACGTGTGCGATTCCATCAAAGAGCAGCCCTGACAGGAGTTGACTGATCCCGCCAGCAATGAGGGGCCGAGCTCAGAAAGAGCAGCGCCCGTCAAAGCTGAGTGCTCTGAGGCTGTTATGCTGAAAGGTCAGCCATTTTGATTCAGTCCAATAAGCTGACCTCCCCTTTAAACTACAAAGACAAAGAGGTGTCAGACAGAAAAGCTTCTTACTTCTTGAAATAATCGGAAAGTTGGGCAAGTCTAGTCGTATTTTCACTCTAAAGCAAATTTACCGAAGTTAATCTTGCTTTGTGTCTTGAGTCAGACAGATGGGTTAGGGTTAGTGGTTGGTGTCGGTGAAAAACACCCCCTACAATAATGTTATTGCAGGGGGTGGAAGAAGTACTCAGATCCAATACTTAAGTAAAAATAGTACAGTCTAGAAATACTCCATTAAAAGTAAAAGATTGGGTTTCAAAATGATACTTAAGTGAAAGTACAGAAGAGCCCTAAAGCTGCATTCACATGATGCATGATTTGCTCTTTGCTCAGAGCGAGGTTGGGCGCAGAGCTTTGTGGTGATGACGGCTAGTTAAGTTTAGTTACTTAGGTAACACCCATGTTACCTTGCCTTGCTACAATCAACTGTCATCTGATGGGTTGTGCATCAAGAGGTCAGCGCTACATGAGGTCAAAGTTGCGATAATTTGAACTTTAAAAAAGCGCTGGGCCCAACAAAAACTTAGAGCGATGCACAGCGCTAGGGGTTGCTCTTCAAGGTAGTCGTGATACACCGCTCTCTACATAGAAACATAACGGCAACGCCAGCGCAGAACCATTTTGCCATGTATCGTGTCAGTGTAGCTTCAGCTCCTCTTCAGCAGGCTTTTTAAATATTCCTAAAGTCCCTCAAAATAAATGAGATGAACCAGCTTTTATCCACTAAACTCCCAAACACTGGAACACCCTACCAGGATATATAAGAGGCAAACACTTATTATTATTTTCATTTTTTTTAACAGCTAAATGTACTTAAAGGTAGGGTAGGTAAGTTTGAGAAACCGGCTCGAGATCGCTAGAATTTGAAAATACACAACCGGAGAAAATCTGCCACTTCCTTATAGAGACCCTCCTCCAACACACACGAACGCGCACATGACCAATGAGGGCACGAGATAAGTTTGTGCACAGATGGAAGGCTGACAGGCAGGTAGGCCATCCAGTCATTTTAGCCGGGCTAAAATGATTGCTCGTACTGTTTACAGCAGCGGTTTTCAAAGTGTGAGGCGCGCCTCCCCTGGGGGGCGCCAGAGAGCTTCAGGGGAGGCGCAGCGTGAGAAAAAAATAAAGAGAAACAATGAAATCTAGCTCGTTAACTTCAGCTAACTTTATGCGAGCGGCAACATGGATCGATTTTTAGTGAAGTTACCTAAAGTGAGAGAGGAGACAGCGTCTGGCCACCCCAGTTGGCAGCTTTGTTTTGAAATAAAAGTTGTGGCTCATCGGACATTTATCAGAGAAAATCCCTGATGTCCGAGTGCAAGTGAATGCAGCACAAGACGCGAGCCTTGTAACCCTGGCGCGAGCGAGGAAATGTGATTGGCGGCGATTTCATTTGAACGGGCGGCAGAAAACGAGAAGCATTCGGACCCAAGTACACGGAAGGAATAAGGTATTGCGGTCTACAATGACAGAGAAGAGACTGTCAAGTTTGGCTGTGCTCAGCATTGAATCAAAACGCACTAAAGCTTTGGATGTTAATACGTTTGTGAGGCGTTTTGCTGAACAAGATGGTAATCGCCGCATTCAGCTGTAATAGGCATGCCAACTTGATGCTCTGCTCACGGATGACTCGAGCATTAAAAACTGTTAAGATGAATGACCTTACGTGTGTACATATATTTTTTCTTTGTGGGGGTCTGCCCTGAGAAAGTCAAATAAGATGGTGTGTAAAACTACACTGCCCAGACAAAAATAAGTAACCACTTTGATTTAACTAGGCCAGTAGGTAAGGGCATTCCACTGGATAATAATACCCCTGCATTATAGCAACAACAATAATAATAATAATTAAAGCTGCTAGCAGCGTTGAGCGGGTCTTCGACGCTCCGCAGGCTGTTGTCCGCACGTCGACGTGTGTGTCTAGGTGTCTCAAGGACTCGGCCGTTGGCAAACGTGGGAAGTTTCAGGCCGATCGGACAATGTATTTAGGAGTTACAGCAGTATCATAAACATTGTGTTTGATGGCGAGTGATCTGTCGCCATGGCAACGGAATTTGATGACACCCCATAATACGCCTAGATGTGTTGAGGGCTGCATCGTTATCAAACCTGTGAAGTTTTGGGCCGTTTGGAGCATGTTAACTGGAGTTATGAGAAAACCGTGTTTCACGGCGACCATTTTGTTACCCTGGCAACGACATTTGACGAATCTAAAAACTGACACGTATATGTCTCGAGGGCTTGACGGTTAGTACACATGTGAAATTTGCGGCGAGGGATGCGTTGCCATGGCAACAGCTTTTGAGGAAAACTCACTATTGTCATATTGAGGTGTTGAGGGCCGGACCATTAACTGTCATCTGCAGTCTCGTGCCGTTTGGACCATTTTCCATTGATTTAAGACAACATTGTGTTTTATGGCGAAGGATACGTTGCCACGGAAACGGCATATGATGACATCCCATAATTGGCGTAGAGCTGTTGAGGGCCGGACCATTAACTGTCATCTGAAGTCTGGTGCAGTTTGGAAGCTTTTCCATTGACTTAAGAAAACTTCGTGTTTTTTGGTGAGGGATGCGTTGCCATGGAAACGGCATACGGTGAGATCTCAGATTTCACGTAGAGCTGTTGGGGCATGGACCGGTGATATAAAAGTGAAGATTGGGGGACGATGGGACCGTGTCCATTGGAGTTACAGCGACACCGTGTTTTATGGCGAGGGATGCGTTGCCATGGAAACGGCATATGATGACATCCCATAATTGGCGTAGAGCTGTTGAGGGCCGGACCATTAGCCATCATCTGAAGTGTGGTGCAGTTTGGACCATTTTCCATTGACTTAAAACAACATTGTGTTTTATGGCGAGGGATGCGTTGCCATGGAAACGGCATACGGTGAGATCTCAGATTTCACGTAGAGCTGTTGAGGCATGGACCGGTGATATAAAAGTGAAGATTGGGGGACGATGGGACCGTGTCCATTGGAGTTACAGCGACACCGTGTTTTATGGCGAGGGATTTGTTGCCATGGTAACGCCATATTAAGTAACATCAAATTTGACGTAGAGCTGTTCAGGGCCGCAGTGTTAACCATCATGTGAAGTTTGGTGGCGTTCTGAGTATGTCAGTTGGCGTTATGACATCATCGTGTTCCATGGCGAGGGATGGCCGAGCATCGAGCGAACGCGAACTTTGGCGCCAAATCACGGCTATGCCGTACGAAAGAAAAAGACTTCCGTGATAACTTTGAATTGCCCATGTCTCGAGACGCTACCCGACAAATTTCGAGTCGTACGGATAAAGTCCCTGGGAGAAGATAGATTTCGTGCGGAGGACGAAAAACGCGATAAATCGCGTTTTTCCGACGCCAAATTCAAAATGGCCGGCTTCCTGTACGTTATTTTATACCCCTCCAAGAGGCTTTTTGGTTTGTCTCCGCACCCTAGATATGCGTAGCGAGTTTCGTTCGTTTACGTGAAAGTTAAAGTGGGGGGAGTTTACGTTAAAAACGGAAGTGGGCGTGGCCTACGCAATTTTTGACGCAAAGTTCCGGAACCAATTACACATCTGAAGTTGCACCACTTCTGACGCGCGTGCAACATTTGGTGAGTTTTCACATATGTTGCGGGGGTCAAAGGTTTATCGGTCGCTGCGCGACCGATTTCAATAGGGTCTTCGCCGACCTAGGTCTCAGACCCTAATAATAGCAATAATAATTGGGAGGGGGGGCGCGGCTGTTCTTATATTCTCTGAGGGGAGGCTCACCTTCCCACACTTTGAAAACCCCTGGTTTACAGTATTACGGCTTCAATAGACGAAATTTTTGTATGGATTTTTTGTCAAAGCAAAACTAAAAGGTACTCATGAAGCAGAACGGCTCTATTCACATTATTTTAATAAAATAATGATGTGAATAATAAATTAGGTAGTTTTTTCACAACAAAAATTCCTAAAACAGCATTTTAATATTGTAAATGTCAATTTGGAGTCAATTGTAGAAACTTATACTTCGCAAAAAGGTTTCGGAGATGTGCCTGGTGCTCTTCTTCAGAGGAGCTGGCGACAAGAATGTCATCTAAATAGACCAAATCAAATCAAGTTTTATTTATATAGCATATTTATAAACGATTTTTGGTTGAGCCAAAGTGCTGTACAAATAATAAAAATACCCTACAGTAAAGACATTTTACAGCTAATACAACAGCACAGTTTGTTCAGAATATCAGTATGAAAAAAAAAAAAAAAACGACACCCTCTGTCCTTAGACCCTCACATCGTACAAGGAAAAACCTCCGGAGTAAAACCCACAGTTTAAAGGGAAAAAATGGGAGAAACAAAGATGAATGGCATGTCTCTGAGCGCCAAATTCATCAGCCGCTGAAAGGACTAAGCTGCATTCTTAAATTCAAACGGCATACGCAGAAACTCGAACAGCCCGAACGGCGGAATCACCGCAGTTTTGGGGACGTCCGAGGGGTGCACCGGAACCTGGTGGGTAGCCCCGCACCAGATCCACCTTGGAGAAGACCAGCTTGCCCGCCAGGTGTGCAGAGGAGTCCTGGATGTGAGGGACCGGGTAGCGGTCTGGCGTAGTGGCGTCGTTAAGGCGGCGGTAGTCACCACACGGTCGCCAGCCGCCGGCTGGTTTAGGGACCATGTGGAGCGGTGAGGCCCAAGGGCTGTCTGAGCGGCGGATGATGCCCAGATGCTCCATGTTGTCGAACTCCGACTTGGCGACCGCCAGCATGTCAGGGTTGAGCCGCCGGGCCCTAGCGGAAAAGGTGGGCTGCGTCAAGTCGGGAAACTCACTGAGAAGGCGTTGAAACTTGTCACCCTGTGAGAGTGAGCTGGAGAGCCCGCTGAATGATGCCTCGCCGCGGACACATGCGAACGAGGCAAACGTCAGTGCGTCCACCAGGCGGCTGTTCTTGACGTCCACCAGCAGTCTGTGAGCGCACAGGAAGTCTGCGCCGAGGAGGGGGAAGGAGATGTCAGCCGTAACGAAATCCCACTTAAACCGCTGGCCCTCGAAACACAGGTCCACTGTCTTTGTGCCATAGGTGCGAATAGGGGTGTCGTTAGCGGACGTTAAAGGTGGGCCGTGGCCCCCACCAGCGGCGTCTTCCACCATAGCTGGCAGGACGCTCTGCTGGGCGCCAGTGTCACACAGGAGTCTGCGACCAGAGAGGGTGTCCCTGATGAACAGGAGCCGGTTGGATGTGCCCACGCTCGCGGCCACTACTGAGCGCAGGCCTTGGCGTTTCCCGTTGCCTTATAGTTGCAGGGGGAACGGCACTTCTTCGCTTTCGCGCCGAAGCGTGTATGGAAATAACACACGCCAGGGCTGGAGCGGCTGTCGTCGGCCACGGGGCTTCTGCTAGGTAGCATGCCTCAACCAGGGAAGATGCCACTGCGTGTTGGGGCCAGCACCTCGGGGGTAAAACGCTGGGTGGCCAGGAAGAACCGGTCAGCTTCTTCGGCTAAAGCACGGGGCTCAGTAATAGCCGTGTTAGCGAGCGCTGTCTGGATATGCGGCGGCATGTGCCGAAGAAACAGTTCCATGAACAAAAAGTTGGGTTCTTCCGTACTTAGCAGGTTGAGCATCATCTCCATGTGGTCGGAAGGCTTGCTGTCTCCCAGGCTATGAATAGCGAACAGGCGTGACAACTCAAAAGTCTTTAGCAGGAAAGCCTTGAACGCTGCATATTTATTTTGGGCAGGGGGAGATGTACTTGGTGCTATGATTTAAATGTACTTATCAAAATGAAGATTCAAAATTACTTGCAAATTCAAGTAACACATTAAATGAAAGGAGAGATTTTGAGTAAAAGAAAATTATTAGTAATTTCTTGTATAATTTAAACACAAAATCATAGTATGATCGTTTTTATCAGTGTATGAAAACAATTGCCGTTTTTTGATAAACCAATTAGTGATTGTGTGGAATGCCGAGCCCCTCCACACATATTGTACACTCATTTGTCAGGAAATGTCAGAGTTTTAATAAACCTCTAAGCAGCCAGTCACAACACGGCCTGCACTTCTGGCATTCTGCCGGGTCGTAATGAGAATTGTGTCGGTAAAGGTTAACCCAATCAAAATTAATGGTGAAAGCAGCCAATGGGGGAAATGGTGTTTGTGATAAAACTCGGGACTTGGGAGGGTTGTGCATCTACACAACAGCTGTTTTATTCACAGGCGTCTTTTGAAGAGTTTTGATAAGTCTGTGATTTTTTTTTCTGCAGCCCTACTGTTCATTACATCTCCATCTACACGTCTCCGCAAATCCCTACACATCTGGAAACATAGCCAGCAGGGACTCAGCGCCGGGGATCATTGTCGCGTCAGGTGGGTGAGAGAATCTCTTTGAGTGACATGTTGTTTCTCTTTTCTTTGTCTACTCAGAGATCTGAGGGTTTTTTTTCTCAACAAACAAAACCCCTGTTGCAACCCTTCCTGGGCTTTTTGCTTTGTTTATTACAAACTAATTAATAGATGTAATCCCAAGCAGGTGTGGTAGTTTTTATACTTTTTGAAGCCATTTTCATTTTAGTATTAAAAAGAGCAAGCACTGCAAAAGGCAAGTCTCAGCCAATTGAGATGTAAAATTGCATATTGTATAGTTTGCTTGAATTGAATCCAGCTCAGAACAACAAAGGACATACTGTACCGTAAGAGAACTTTTGTTTTTATTGGCAATGACATTCACAATCGAGTGTCTTTTCCCAGTCCATGGACGCAGTAGATAGTGTTACGCTAACTTGAAGAGACAAAGACCACGAAAATCACTTAGACTCACAAAGCCAAAAAGAAATGTGCCTCCTTCAGTTAGTCGAAAATGTTGGCACTGATGTCTCCAATATGTCACTGCTGCTTTCAACGCTATGCAATTACATTTGGCTGTTTGCATCTTTTTGCTCTTTACTTCTATTCTCACTTGTTTTTCCTTATTCAGCATCAGGACATGACTTCCAACAGCGTCTGACAACATGCATGTGTCACCTCACCTTTGAACAGGGGCAAATTACAGAACAAAGCACTACATAATCCTTGTTGGAGCCCTCAGGAACAATGATGATCTCATCATTGTTTCTGAGGACACAGGGGAAAAAAGCAGTGACTCTTATTGACTCAGTGGAGAGAAAACTAAAGAAATTGAGGAATATAAGACCAACAGTTCTTAAGGTGAATTCACACCTCAGTGATATTTATTCCCACATGGACCGGCACTGTCAATAACACATGAGCATACGCCTCTCGTGTCTGGAGATGGTGTCTAGACCTTGGTGAAAAAGGTATTAGGGATTTTGGAAAAAACAATTGTGTGATTTAGTGGGATCTCTAATATTATTGAATCTATAAATTATGCGGGAAAATCTGGTATTGTTTTATATTGAACTTGGAAAATATGCAAGCAAACCCTAAACCTAGCCCCACTTCTTATTCCAACCACTAACGATGGTAAGGACAAATTTAATTATATTACATTATGGCTCTTATTCTGGTAGTTTTGGCTATTGTTTCCACCACTTACTTACCCAACAACTTCAAGTGAATTGTAGGGAAACAGCAACATTGCCAGACCAGCAGCGTAAGGAGCACACACAAGCACACAGCTATAATTTCCTGCTAAACCAGTACCGAGTGCGTTAAAAGAGGTATAGTCTAAGATAGATTCCAGTTATTTATTTTTCATTTGAACAATGCGATACACAGAATAAGCAGGTTCAAGCATTGGAAGTATGGGATGAACCATCGACTCAAGTTACTTTTATTAAGTTGGCATTAAAGCTGCTTTGAACAATGAAGAAAAACTAAAAGCTATTTTTTTGGTTTCAAATTGTTTACTTGCATAGGGAAAGTAACAGAAAAGTTGGAAAAGAGGACAAACAAAACCAACACGAAAGAAAAGGTTATCCTCTCCATTACCATTAGCACTTATGCTGTTACCCTAAGTTGTAGTTCAAATAACATGAACTATCATGTTGGACAACAGTTATGGCAGGAGATTGAGTACTGAAACTCAAGCAAAAGTAACCCTAACCCTAAGTTTGTCTAGATATGGACAAAACCTTAATAGCAACCTGTACTGCACCTGTGGTGTGTTTCACATGTATACGCACCTCAGTTCTGCAGTAAGTTGTGAAGATCAGCCACTGGAGGCAAGAAAGATTGAGATTTGAAGCTGGAGTTTGGTCCTTCTCTAAATATATGGATTGTTAAGCAAACTGTTTCTCAGGGAGGGCTCCCACAAGGGGACGACTGAAACACTTACATTACTTTCCTGCCTCGTGTTTAACCACCTGGCACCAATTACAGGCTAAATTACAACAATTACAGCAGTCTGCACTGCATTAGGAAAGTTCGTCTTAGGTCAGAACTGCTGAAAGATGAAAACAGTAATCTGGATTTATTGGTTGATTTAGGGGTTTTGGACAAATGTCGTACTACATAGTGAATCTCCTGGAGCCGTGTAATTACAGCCTCAGTCTGCAGCTGCAGGCTGGAGCCCCCTGCAGTATTACCACTGCTGTTTTAAAGGCTCTTTAAAAATGTTTTGGATTTTATTTGTTCTCAAGTGGAATTAATTTCCTCTGTCTGCATTTTGCCTCATCTCCAGGAACCATCGGCGCAGAGCTCACCTCCACCAACATTAGTGTGTACGTCGCCTCAGATGCAGGAAACACATGGAGACAGGTGAGGGTGCTTTTTTTATTGGAATAATAATTCAAATCCTATGACGCTACAGCTGTTTTGCATGTTATTTATAATTTATAATATGGTGAAAAAGTTATTTGAAATGTTTAAACTTCAAATCTGCTCTGACATTTCCGATGGACATGGTTTACTGACATTGGAGTGCTTTTGTTGTTAGGAGGGTCATGATCCTAGTAGTTGATGTGTTTCCCGTTTTATTTTAAAGTTTGAAGTGTTCTCCCCCTGTGTCATGTCTGTCTTTTACATCCTGTCTTTGTGTATTTTCCCACTTGTTTTGATTTTCTGTTCTGGTCCTATTAGGGCCACCTCTTCAATTTTGTTTGATCCATTCATTTGTTCTTCTTGTATTGAATTTCTGGTTGTTATTTAGTTGTTAGCGAATACTTGTATGATGTTCAACAGGAAGTTCTGTTCAGCTGTGTTTGTCTTGCCTTGCCTTGCCCAGACTACTCAAATTATAATTATTTGTTGTTCCTTTCAGTGCATTAGGGTCCACCGAACTCTACAAAACAATACATATTTGTACATTTTAAGTGTATATTAATACATATATGCATTTATACTTTTAATTCAGTTAATTCATATTTATGTTTAGTGCCAATTGGATCCTGGTAAGACCAAGCCCCACGAAGTGTGCTGGACGTTGAATCAAATGTTTGCAGTGGCCAAACGGTGGTACTAGGGCTGTGCAATTAATCGTATTTTAATCGCGATTACGATTATGGCTTGCGACGATTATGAAAACAGCATAATTGACAAAATACGATTATTTTGCTGGGTGCGCTTTCGCCCCTCCCTAAAAGCCCACTCGGCCACGTGGGAGTGACATGTGTGAGTGTTCAGCGCGAGCGAAGATGTCAGAACAAGAGCAGCAACTCGTTAAAAAGAAGGGTAAAACTATTTCCACTATTTGGAAGTACTTTGGCTTTCAGGAGTCCGACGTGGAGCAAAACAAAGTACAGTGCAGGATTTGTTACCAGGTTGTGTTGGCACCACACGCTAACACAACCAATCTCTTTAATCATCTGAAATACAACCACAAAGTGCAATACGACGGGGCAATAATACAACAAAAAGCAGACCAAAAAGATGCCCGCTCGACTTCATCCACAACATCATCACAGTCATCGATTCAGGACGCATTGCACAGAGCAACGGCCTACGCGACGAGCTCGCAGAGACACAGAGATATTACAGGTGCCATTACATTTCACATCGCTAAAGATATGTGCCCAGTTAGCACTGTTAGCAACCAGGGCTTTAAGCAACTTGTCAACACGTTGGACAAGCGTTACGCGATGCCGTCTCGGTATTATTTCAGCAGGTCTGCGCTGCCTGCGCTATATGACAAATGCCGTGGGGAAGTTGAGAGAGATGTGGCTTCAGCTGACTACTTTGCCACCACAACGGACCTATGGTCTAGCCGCACCATGGAGCCATACATGAGCCTCACAGTTCATTATATCGATGCCGATTTCAATTTGAAGACAAAGTGTCTCCAAACCGCATTTTTCCCTGAAGACCACACGGGGCAAAACATCGCCCATGGACTGAGGGAAGCGATGGCTGCTTGGGGGTTAAAAGAGGATAAACTCGTCTGTATGACTACGGACAATGCCGCAAATATAAAGCTGGCGGCTGAGGTCAATGGATGGATGAGGCTCCAGTGTTTCGGGCATAGACTCCACTTGGCCATAGGTGAGCAGGATTCCTTCCTCCTGTTGTATGTAATATGTCATTTTAACAACAGCAACAACAATAATAGCAATAGTAAGTCATTAACATTGATGATCTCTCTCTTAATATGATAATATTAATTACATATTATTATTATTATTATTATTATGTTATGTGTGAGCTACTCTGTCATCTCTCTCTTTTTTTTCTCTCTCTCTTTCCCTCTCTCTCTCTCTCTCTCTCTCTCTCTCTCACACACACACAACACACCAAATTATGCTTTGATGAAGATCATGATTATCATCATGATACTAAATAATATGTATTTGTTGTAATCTTAGAGAATGCAATGAAGGATCCCAGGATCGGCCGTGCAATGGGGCTTTGCAAGAAGCTGGTCAGCAGCTTCTCCTACAGTTGGAAAAAGAAGAGGGAACTTGCAGTGGCACAGCAGCAGCTGAATCTGCCTGAACACTCCCTAAAGACAGAATGTCCAACCAGATGGGGATCTAGGCAGGCCATGATCGACAGGGTCCTCGAGCAGCAGAAGGCCATTGCCCAGGTCCTTTCCAGCGACCGAAAAACCAGACATCTCTCCCTCACGTGGCAGGACGTTGATGTACTGGAGGCAATCAATAAGTCGCTTAGCCCTCTGGTGGAATTCACAGACGCACTTTCTGGAGAGAAGTATGTAAGTGTGTCTTTTTTTAAACCAACCCTGCACCTCTTCAACAACTCATTGCTGGCAGTGCAGGAGGATGACACAGACCTCACAAAAAGCATAAAAAAGAAGATACTAGACTATCTCAATGATAAATATGATGACGCAGCGACACAAGAGCTGCTTGACATGGCCTCTGCCCTGGACCCGAGATTCAAGCTCAAATATGTCAGTGAGGACAATCGAGGATCCATTGAAGCCAGCCTGACAACTGAGATGAGGAGGGTGATGACACTCATGGTAATAATAATAATAAAAAATAAAAATGTCAGATTTGACAGTAAATACAATTAAGTGAATGAATGTGTTGTCAAAGTGTTATAATGTAATTCTAGGTATAAATGTTAATACCCATAACCATTTAGTCTGATTAAACATGTCATTCTTATTTTCTTTATAATACTCCAAGGAGAACGCCCCTCTTGAGACGGCAGCGGTGCCTGCAGATGACACGGAGGATGCTGCTGCAGCTGCACCAAAGAAGAAAAAGAAGGGACTGGGGAGCTTCTTCAAGGCCACCGTAGACCAAGCTGCAGAACCTCAACCTGCTCTGGAAAAGGACAAGGCCATAGCTCTTGAGCTACAGTCCTACCTCCAGGCAGTGCCACTGGATGCTGAGGAGGACCCACTAAAGTGGTGGAGGGAATCCCGGAAGTTCTACCCACGGCTCTCCATCCTGGCAAGGAAGTATCTGTGCATCCCAGCCACAAGTTCCTCTTCAGAGAGGGTCTTCAGTACAGGTGGCAATATTGTCACCTGCCTGCGCTCGTCTCTGAAACCAGACCATGTAAACAGGCTGGTTTTTCTTGCAAAAAATCTTTAAGAGATGACATGAGCAGCCCTACCAGCATTTGCCATGGTGGCCATGTTGGCTATATGTTAAGGAGTTGTCAGTAGGTTGTGACAGTGCACTGCAACATATTTGATTTAATTTATTTTGGTCTAATTTATTTTTATTTATCATATTAATATATGTTTTGTATGGTTTTGGAAGTGCGCTCCATTATGTGTTGACCTTGTTTATTGGTAAAATATTATTTCTTTTAAAGTTTAATAAATGGTCAATGAATAATCGTCAAAATAATCGTGATATCAATTATTGACCCAAATAATCGTGATTATGATTTTTGCCATAATCGCACAGCCCTAGGTGGTACTACAACTTAGTGTCAGTTCGAGTGGTGCAGGGATGACGTATTTCCCCGGAAGTAAACTCCGCATGGCCACTTGTTAACAACCATCGTTTTTCAGACACGTAAACTCTTCAAAAATCACCAGTGGGGTCACTGCTGATGTATTTAATGTCGTAGAACAAAACGTGATCCGTCTCTTAAATTTGTGTCAACCACAGACCTTATTTCGAGCTATTTTCCAAAATCCTATGGAGAAATCCCATTGGCTCTGAGACGAGGGAACCCGTAGTGGTAAAATGCTAACTCACTTCCGGGTTTTAGGACTTGTCACTGCACCACTCAATTGGGCCCAAAAATACCTTTTCCACATTTACTCTTTTTAGACTAAATTAAAGGAGAGGTGTCATGCTTTTCCGGTTATTACCCGTCCCCTTGTGTGTTATGAAGGTTTTTATGCATGTAAACGGTGTGCAGAGTCAAAACCCTCAAAGTACACCCTGTAGCGAGTAAAACTCTAACACAGAAAATACCTCCCCAAAACGCCTCGTTGGAGATACGTCATTGTCCATTTGATTCTTCCGGGACGGCATGATGTCAAGCCGTACCCGGAACGAAATGGACCAATCCGTGGAGCCGTTACGTTACGTCCGCGGAGCCGTTACGTTAAGCCCCCGCTGATTGGTCCAAATTGCCCAATCCACGGACTTCCTCACACACACATCTGTGTGCAGGGAGCAGGCAGCTCAGCTGATTTCTCCTCCCTGGCTGCAGGCTGATAACAGACAGTTGGGATCGCGGCGAAATTCTCTCTGCAGACCCATTCTCACAGTGTTTATCAACCTTTTTCTTACTCAATATCAAGCCACACTTATTGTTTTTACTTCGGATGTGAGTTTGTGTGTGCTCAGGATGAGTTTGGCTGTGTTTCGCTATGTATCCTAAACAAGGAAACAACACCTCCACGGAGCTCAGCGCGATTCACAACGTCCCGACCAATCAGAGCACACTGTGCTCACAGGGAGGGTGCGGGCTGGAGCTTTGGGAGCTACAACGAGCCGTTAAAGGCAGAGAGTGAAATTCAGTGAATACACATACTTTACAGAGATGCTGTATGAGAAACCAATGTGAGTTTGGAAAAATGCACAATATAAATCTATTTTAGTATACCTCAACAATGGAATTATGATCAGTGGAAATGGCCATGACACCTCTCCTTTAACTCCCCAGTACAAACACTTTTATAGCTCTTTTAAAACCATGAGGGTCTAAAAGTAAAATGCAAGAAGACCCGAATCCAGATTTATTTTCTATCTTAATTAATTTTCCTCAGCCGAGATCTGCTATAACACTTCAGATTGGAGGCGGGGCTTAAGCACACAGGTACGGCTACGGGTACTATTTGGCTTCATGCGCTACTGAGCAGCTTTCATAGGAATGAACACCCTGTCTCCAACACTGTATCCAGATCTCTTTGTACATCCATGGTTAAAACACTTTGTACACTTTAACGATTATGTAAAATTAATAAATTAATTTTCCAATAAATTAAAGCCACCATATGGACGATCATGAGCTTACTGACCTATCCCCTCACTAAGTATATCCTCCTCCTCACTTGCTCTCACTGATTTCATCATACAGCCATTTATTAAACATTACGCACTAGCCAGAGCTTTTTAAGGTCGATAATCAAATTAAATGTTAAGAGTTATTTGATTCACTTCCAGCCTACAGTGCCTGTGGGTTGCCTTTACCTCACTTGATCCTAGCACTCTCAATTTATGGGCCTTGTTTTTAATTAAACACGGCATTGAAAAATAATAATTTGGAGGCTGATGCAGCAAGTTCGAAACAGTGATGTGTATTGTGTTCAGGGTTGGGAGGGTCACTTTGTAAATGTAATTAGTTCCTGAAATACTGAATACATGGCTCTGAAAGTAATCCGAATCCGAATACAGTTACGTGTCTTAAAAAAGTATTCAGATTACTTTTAGAATACTTTTGGAATACTTTATTTTTCCATAACAGATGAGGGTATATTTTGGTGTACAGGAGAAACTTATTTTACTGTTTTAATGGCTTATCAACATCTTGGTGTCATTCTGGAATATAGTCCTTTAATCCTGTCTTAAAACTTTCCTTAGAATATTTTATGAATTGTAAGGTGTTCTTGGGTGCTTTGAAAGGCGCCTCTAAATAGAATGAATTATTATTATTATTAATTATTATTATCTGAAACGATGTAATAACTTTTAAAACTTGTTCCAGTCACTTGCCCCACGCATTCAGCAGCAGCAGGCCATTCACTTTGATTTTATCCCGTTATGAAATGTCATCATTTCAACAACAAAGAAATGCTACATAAACGTTATCTTGCACATGTTATCGAACCATCTCCGTTTCTAACTTTCAATATATTTGAAAAGAGATCAATTTTCAATTCAATTCAATTCAATAGCTTTATTAGCATGACCATAGTTACATACAGTATTGCCAAAGCTCTGTATAGTTGCAACATCTATACAAAAATACACACAAATAAACAGTTATAAACAAACTGCTAAGAACATGTTTTGTTTTTTGTACAAGGAATACAGATTCATATAATACATTAATACAAAATAGAATATGATATATATACATAAGATATATAAGATGTGAGACCTGGTGTATCTGCTCATTCCGATTCCCTCAAACTGTGGCAGGCAGAGACAAACTGTCCTGCAACAATGCAGCTCTCTTTATATTCCCGAGAAGTATTTTTATTTTTTCATTTTCATTTTTAAATATTTGAGGATGCTTATGATTGAGTTTTGGGAAGAATTTTTTCCGTATAGGTTCAAAAGTTGGGCATTGTGTGAGGAAGTGCTGCTCTGTCTCCACAGCAGTTCCTCCACATTGTTGGCATGATCGCTCCTCTTTTGGCAGCCATGTTTTCTTGTACCTGCCTGTTTCTATGGCCAGGCTGTGAGCACTCAGTCTGTACTTTGTCAACATCTTCCTGTGTTTAACATCAGTCACTGTGGTCAGGTAGGCTGCCACAGTGTACTGGGTGTTTCTCAATCGCGAGTACGCTTGCTTGGTAGCACATGTCTGCCGAGCATCTTGCTTCAGAAGCGAGTCAAGAATACTTCCTGGCATTCGGAAAACAAAGAGTGGAACACGCTAGCAAGTGTGCAGGTGTGCGTCATATGAGAGGCCCCGCTTTACATCTTCCACCACAGATTTGGGGAAATTGGTCCGTGCGCAAAGCATTGTGGGGATTTTAAGACCGCGGAGTCTACTCATGTGCAGCCTCGATATTTCTCGATTGAGAAACACCCACTGTCTTTTTAGGGCCATATAGCATTGCATTTTACTTTGTGTTTGGGATTTAGTGTTCCAATAAGTGAGGTAGTTTTTTGTGTGTTTTGTTATAATTTGGTTGACTCTAATAGTTGTGGGCTCAGACTGGTCCTGAGGCAGAACACAGTTCGAACCGGTTTGTGAACAGAGTGTCAGGACCAGCTGAGAGAGGGGACTCTTTCCCTTGTTCTGCATGCGGGGGCGGGGCCTCACAGACACGCTGCATCTTTCTCTCTCTCTGTCTCTCTGTCTCTCGCTCACAGACATGCTGCAGCGCAGTGCACAGACCTGCCGGTAATGAATATTACATGTTGTGAGGAAATATTTCCACCAATAATTTCAATAAGTATTACAAAATGTATTCACATAAGGTTTACGAAAGTAACTATAATCAGATTACTAGTTTTTCAAATATAACGCGAGGTGAATACAGTTACTTGATTTTTGTATTCTGATTACGTAACGCCGTTACATCTATTCCGTTACAACCCAACCCTGATTGTGTTTGTTTGGTGTGTTATTTCTTGGCTCACTCGAATGATACAGTGTGGGTGTGCAGTGGTGTTGGACCTGTACTCGTGTAATGGGCCACTGCAGTTGAAACTCTTTCTCTGTGCCTTCCTGTCGCTGCAGATCTTTGACGAGGAGTATGCAGTGCTGTATCTCGACCAAGGAGGAGCCTTAGTCGCAATAAAACACACTCCACTTCCCATCCGACACCTGTGGTGAGTCATTATGACAGAGACGCCACTTGCCACAGCATGACTAATTCCCTCGGAGGAAGCCTCAAGACTTAAGTTAGTCAAACAAAGGCAAATGAGATTGACTTCGAACTGGGGGATGATATTATTCAAGTTAGAACCCCCCCCCAAGCCTAGGAAAAGTCTGCTTTGACAATTGCGTTCAATATCACGTTTACGTGTTTTAAGCCTTAATGAGTCTAGCTTCTGTTGATCAGTGTTCACTGAGCAGAGCTCCTCAGCCCTGCTTGGAATATGAAATAAAGTTGTCAGACGACTCTCAGGGTCATTAGCTCTGCACTCAGTCGGGGGGGAATAGTGTTTGCGCCTTGTGTAATGGCTGTCTGTGTTCCCAGGTTGAGTTTTGACGAAGGACAACAGTGGAAGAAGTACAGCTTCACCAACACGCCTCTGTTTGTGGACGGGGTGCTGGGCGAGCCTGGGGAGGAGACTCTCATCATGACGTGAGTGACAACAAATTTGTCAGAATGGAAATCAATCAATTACATGGAGAAATAACAACATATGTCAAACTCAATTTCATCGCGGGCCACATTAGCATTATGGTTGCACCAACGGGCCGGTTGTAACTTTAAGACTATATAAAAATACTAGGGCTGTCAGTCGATTAAAATATTTAATCGCGATTAATCGCATGATTGTCCATAGTTAATCGCGATTAATCCCAAATTAATCGCACATTTTTTATCTGTTCTAAATGTACCTTAGAGGGATATTTTTCAAGTTTTTAATACTCTTACCAACATATGAGTGGACAACTATGCTTTATATGTTTGTTTATTATAATTTGAACATTAAACACAACAACCTCTGAACATTACAAATATTCGCCTCAATTCACCCTGGAACCTCTCTCATACAACAATACTGTGTGTGTGTGTGTGTGTGTGTGTGTGTGTGTGTGTGTGTGTGTGTGTGTGTGTGTGTGTGTGTGTGTGTGTGTGTGTGTGTGTGTGTGTGTGTGTGTGTGTGTGTGTGTGTGTGTGTGTGTGTGTGTGTGTGTGTGTGTGTGTGTGTGTGTGTGTGTGTGTGTGTGTGTGTGTGTGTGTGTGTGTGTGTGTGTGTGGAGAGACACTGTGATGGATCGTTGGAGCTATATGCAGCTCAAGGCATATATGCTCGAACGGGAGCTGCCTGGACGCTGCAATCATGTTGCGCGCACTATCCGTGCTGAGTGTGCTGACTTTTCGTACAATGTCCCACTGTCTGGCTACCTGCATAAAGTCAAGTGCTCGGCGCAGTTGTCGGCGAAATGTCGCTCCTCTGTTTTCATTGAAACAGCTCCTTATATCCGTTAGCGCAGCTAGCTAGCACCAGATGCTAACAACAACAACACGTAAGGTGTGCCTCGCTCACGCGACACATACACACACCCTCCCGGTCCTCCCGATGGCCAGTCCGGGCCTGCCAGTGAGCGTGGAAGTGTGGTCTGCCACAAGCGGGCGGCAGGAGCGGGGCTGTCAGCATCAGCTTGTAGATGGTATTTTAAACTCGATGCGCTCTGAAACTACGGGGCGGCCGAGGACAAAAAATACACATGCGTTAAACGCGTTAAAATAATTAGTGGCGTTCATTTTTTTTTGCGTTAACTTGACAGCCCTAAAAAATACATATATAAATATTTAATATATATAATGTATTATATTACATTATTGCCTCTGCATTGGATTATTATGGGATAGGGTAATAATAATTATAATTAACTACGTCTGAAAGAAGAAGTCTAGGGCAAATAATTGCAAGTCTCTTCAGTGCGCATGTCACAAAATGATTTAAAAAGAAAAGCCAAATTCTGGAAAAAAAGTCAAACTCAAAAAAAAGGAAGTGACATTTTGATAAAAAAGTCTAACTTCAGATGCATTGTGGGAGATGTAGTTTATGGGCAACGTGCTTCTGTAAATCGACATGTAACCGTATAATAAACATATTGTGGGGGAAACTTCTGTGTGGCAATGCAGTGGGATTCACCGACTCAGGAAGGAGACACGGTGAGAGTTGGAGCTTTTGATGTCAAACACTGATGGGTTTATTCAGAGTATCGGCCGGAGGATTCGCATCACAAATCACGAGTCAGAGGGTCTGACTTCACGGTAGAGTTGCCACGTCAATTCTGAAGAGCCTCTCTCTATGTTAGACCTTTTAACTGGTTCACAGAGAGTAATCAACATCTCTGAAGGAGTAGACTAAACAGCTGGGAACACTGAACCACTTGCGTCCGACACTCATGGCCTCAAAGATTTCACATCTTAGAGTCCACAAACACCGATAAAGAAGTGCCTCAGCGTTCTCACAACAATTACCATTCGTGCCAGACAAGTTGACCGGTCACAAACTGGTGACAACAACACATATGGCACCAAGGCCTTTCCTTAAAGGAGATAACAGATGTCAGAGTAGATCATAAAACGTCACAGAGCAAAAGGTTAGATATCTAGAAGAATTATTCCTTAACACATATTATATTATTTGCAAGCTCTTGTGGGGCCACAGAAAATGAAGTCACGGGCCGGATTTGGCCCCCGGGCCTTGAGTTTGACACCCCTGACTAGGGATGGGTATCGTTAAGGTTTTAACGGTACTACTACTTTTATCGATACCGCTTATCGGTCCGGTCTTTTAACGGTACTCTTATCGGTTCTTTTGGAGAGAAAAATGAGGTAAACTAACTATATGTTGTATGTCAGGGACTACGGATGGAAATTAGCTCAAAGCTAAAATCCGGCATATTTACACTTGAAGCTAGGGTGACCAGATGTCCCGCTTTGCACGGGACTGCACAGCATTTTCACGACTTTTGGTGCGTCCCGCAAATTGAGACGATGTCCCGCATATTTCATTTTGATTGGCCAAAACGCTTTTCTGCCATTATGATTATGTTTTAAACGGCATTATGTAAGTTGCGCTGACAGGCGACAGAGGTCCACAGTGTACCCCCCCCCCCCCCCGTTGACAGTTCATGCGTCAACATTACATTTACATGTCCCACATTGTCCCACACAAATATACTCTCTGTCCCACTTGTGGCTTTCTGTCACCTGGTCACCCTACTTGAAGCATTATTTGTCTAAAGTGTTCATTAATGTGCATTGTCCCTATTCAAATAAACGATTAAATGAAAATTAACAAATTGTGAACAAAACTAACATTGCTTTTTATTTAAATGAAATGCATAATATTTCACATCAACAGAAACAACAACGTTTTAACAAATCATATTAAATAATCTGATGACAGAACTGTGAACAGAATGGCTGAAACTTTAACAAACTAAATAACTCAGTTCCCTCTAATCATTAACCCATGTTTGAATCATTGAGTTAGCTCCGTGTGTTGCTGCTAGCATACATAATATACCTGACGTGGAAACGTTACTCGTGGATGGGGCTACAGAGCTACTAGAGAGACAGTCGAACCCGGTGCATTTCTCCGTCTGAACGTGGTGCACTTTTGCAAGATGTTTAGACAAATTGCTCGTGTTACCGCCCTTACATGCTAAACTCTTATTGCACTTTAGGCAACGAGCGAGACGGGTAAAGTTTAACCACACCTCGGAGCGCGTTCTCTCCGCCATCTCCTCCGTGTGTGTGTGTTGCTGCATGTAGCAGCTGCGTGTGTGTAAACTGCCCCGCCCCCTCGCACACAGGCGGGGGAGAGAGATCTCTCGTCTGGATTGGAGAGATCGAAAATACTAAAAATGACGCATTTTGCAGTCTTTTTGCGTATTATAAACGGAGTTGGCGACACTAAAACTGCAATATAATGTTTGTGTAGCAATAATACACATGACATATTTTTTAGATGTCTCCAGTACCGATAAAAAGACCGATAACGTCGGAGCTTAACGGTACCACGGTCTTTAATAATTCAGCCCCGGGGCCCGTTTAATACCGGGGCTCGGTACCCATCCCTACCCCTGACATATAGCCTCTGTGTATGTGTGTTTGTGTGCTCCTTAACACGTGCATCTATATCTAAGTCTGCAAGATTCAGCATTTCCCGACTGCCTGTTTTTCTTTTCATGAATAAAAGAGATCTCTCTCAAGGTCTACCCAACATCAAAACTGGCAGTCTACGAATTATGATCACAGGAGATCAATGCTTTGGCAGCCAGCGACAGCATGACTGTCCATTTGAAGAACATGAAGGAAAATGATCAAAAAAATGCCTGAGAAAACAGACTTTGGTCTGAAGAAGTTTTAACAGCATTATGAAGTCATAGAGTGTTTGGTATCATTCGCCCTGTCCTCAGAATCCAGATTTACCAAGATTCCTTTTGTGTTCTTTCACATTTATTAATAGAATAATAGCCCAGAGCTGGTGTGCGTGCATATGGTATGACACAGCGCTTGTCCCGTATTGCAGCAGAGATTTAGGGCTCGGGATGTGCTGGGAAAGGGTTTGCACAGCCATTACATCAATGTTTCAAGACACCTGCCATAAATGACAGTCTGACAGTGGGCTCTGTAGTCAGCTCTACAGGAGAGTGATAGGGCGCAGCTGGAGAGACAAGGAGGGAGAAAGAGAATAGGGAACATGCACAGCAATAGTCTCAACAAGAACAAAATAAAGGGTCGGTGTAAAGACAATGCAGACATTTTGTTTTTCTTCTTGAGCTAAAGAGCTCTGCGCTGGCAGACACACCATTAGTTCTCATAAGATTATCATGCACTGTTTTCTTATCAATTTGTACTCATTCTCACAGTAAGTGCCTGTCGTGGTCGGGTGCCTCCAGAGCTAATTGACAGATTGATTGTGATAAATATGTTGCGGTACAAATGGTGAGGGGGTCAGAGAAGAGAAACACCCACTCAATTTAGCCGGAGATGGAAAATTATCTGGTTAATCTCATAACCTTGGATTGTGATTTGTTTCTGACCATTCAAATATGGGTATTCATTATGATTAGACTTTCAGAGGGAATAAGCTTCCCAATGTACAAACTTACAATACAAACAAACTTAAAATGTAAAACTGGGCATTTTATTCCAGTTCCAACTTTTAGAGGAAGGCTGGCAGTTTTCTATATAATTAAATGTTAACAAATCCCAAATGAAGTAGAAAACCAACAATATACCAAAGTGCAAGTATGCTCCATCAAATTAATTGTCAAATTGTCCCTCCAACAATTCCTCTCTGATTTTTTTTCCTTAACCCAGTCTTTACCTGTAACTGTCTGGGTTTTTCTCATATAATTTGTTTTCTCATAAAGTCACTATTCTAATCTTTAAACAACATTTCTGTTAGTAGTTATTTGAAGCATGTTTTTTGTATAACAACCAACATCATGCATGTTTTTTCTCCAGGATATTCGGCCACGTCAGTCATCGCTCAGAGTGGCAGCTGGTGAAGATCGACTTCAGGTCCATCTTCAACAGGAGGTGTATAGAGGAGGACTATCAGACATGGCACCTTCACAACCAGGTACGGTACATGCTGGCAACCCTAACCCTATAACACACACAAATAAAGCCCCTTTAAATAGTGTTTGATACAGTGTTTAAACTCATCGAGCAGCATGCCTCAGCCTCAGGGGTAATGTGTGATCACTGGCTGCTTTTAGCCTGGCGCTTCAGTGAGTGGACTAAAAGCTGGACATCTCTGAGTTCCCAGAGCACTTATGCAGATTCTCCCGCCTCTCCTGCTGATGCTCTGAGTCAACCGACTCTAACCCCCCCGCCATCGCATACATTAAACATGCCTAAAGAGCCTTCAACATGGCCGGGGCCTGGAGCCCAGCCAGAGTCTGGAAAGCATGACTTTATTCACGGCCCCGCTCTGTAATTGGTTCAGACACCCATATGCTCGGAGCAGGCTAATGATCAAAACATATAGCACGGAAGATGACAAGAGTCCAAGCCAATTACAGGGCCAACTTACCGGGAATGTAGATGTACTGTATTTCCGTCTGCTGCAAGAAAAAACTCAACTTTACCTCAAAACGGAGGAGAGTATTTGTGTGAAAAGTTAATGACATTTCTAAGCAGCTGGGAGTCTTTTTGTATATACAGCCAGATTTTTGTAGAGCATCTCACTACTGACACCTAATGCACAAAGCCAGGATGTTCAGGTCATGTAAAGAGAGGATAATAGGATGCAGTGAAACAGTCTGGAGTTTGTACTCAAACTGATCTTATATTCACGTTTCATGCATAGATAAAAGGCTAAAAAAGGATTGGCAGCATTTTCCCCTTATTATTCCTTCATCTAAGAAATAAAAAACTCTTAAAAATAACTCAAGCAGCACATTCTATTGTGTGACATTTGCAACGCAGGAACAGTTGTTCAGTTTAGCACACCACACAGCACAAGGCCGTAAATATTCGAACAGGAAACAGGCCGAAGTTAAACAAGGCAGTGGGGATTTTCACACAGTGAGATGCCCACATGGTTGGTTGCATCGTGTCAATTATTTATGGTGGCAAGTTACAAAAGCAGCTCATTTTTTTAACCCTCTCTGCTCGTGTTTCTTCACGGATCGGGTCTCCCAGGGCAAGTCCTGCCTCATGGGAGTGAAAAGGATCTACAGGAAGCTGAAGCCCTCGTCCAGGTGTGTTATGGGAAAGACGTATTCTGTTTCTATGACGTCTGGCCCCTGTGACTGTACTGAGGCTGACTTTGAATGGTGAGTTTATTTTATTTTTTTACCAATCCCTTTTAAGACCAATTTTCTTTTCCCCTTGTTGTTGTGTAAAATGTTTTTAATCATTTATTTGGTTAAGTACATACTCAACCAGATGCAGTTAAAACTGATAATTGATAAAAATCCACGGATCAGAAAAATAGCAACAAACTGATTAACAATAGATAATAGCATACAGCTAAGATATAAGGGATACATCATTAATACTGATACGCACCATCATTGTCAAATCTTACTACAGGATCATTACTAATGTTTTGTGTCCTATAACTCCCTTTTTTACCATCATTCATCAAAGATATGACATGTACATGTCATTTACCAGAGTCTTTCATTCTGAAGTCATTACCTTTTAACCAGTTTGTTGTAATTGTCTAATAATTGCTACTCTTATTTCGAAGAATAATATGTTTTGCTTTTTCTCTTATGTTTTACCAAGTAATAGTATAAGTGGGTACTTATTGATGGAAACTCCCAAAAATAGTTGACAATTCTCTTATAGCTAACTCCCAGAAACCACTTCAAACTTCACAATACCTAAATCCATGACTATGGATTGCTTTCTGCTCACCACATTCTCTTTAGCATTTTGAAGTATTTTGTGCGGACTTTGGATTTGGAGTGTCTTAAAATACAGAATAACAACTGGAGTAAGCTTTTTACAATCTGAGAAATAGTCCTCATGATGTGCATAGAGACTACAAACAATTAATGCAAGGTATTGGTAACAAACGGAGCTTGACCAATCATTACAAATAATTAATGGACTGCATTTATTTAGCGCTTTCCCAGTCTTTACAGCCCCTCAAAGTGCGTTTACATACCAGTCAGCATTCGCCCATTCACACCCATTCATACACAGGGAGGGGCTGCCATACAAGATGCCCCCTGCTCAGGTAGACTCACATTCACACACATTCATACACAGGGAGGGGCTGCCATACAAGATGCCCCCTGCTCAGGTAGACTCACATTCACACACATTCAAACACCATTGGTTTAAGTTTCTTGCCCAAGGACACATCGACATCTGGAGTGCAGGTGCTAGGGTTAGGGGACTAGGGTTAGGGTTAGGAACCATCAACCTTCCTATCAAAGGAAGACCATATAAACCCTGGGACGTTTTAATGAGAGGACTGTTTTTTTAGGAAAAGAAGAACCCAGGAATGTTGGATCTTGAGCTAAACTACTGTCAAGTTCGGCTGCAGTTGGTTCCATTTTGACTGTTATCTCCGGAAAAACAGTGACAGACACTTTGGAATGCTGCTAACATTAAGCCTCAAAGAAAGCAAAAGCAAAGCAAAATCAGCTCGGAATTAAAAAATAGAGATTTTTTCTTTATCCTGTCAGTGACACCAAGACTTAATGCTATTAGAAATGGCTTACAAATGAGTAGTTTCTACATTTCTTCATTCATTCATTTTTATTTTTTTTATTACTCAAACAGGAGTAAATAACACATTATTTGGACTCTTTTAAACTCTGGAGGATTTCACATTTGTAGTATTATTCCCTATTTTGCTTTTTTGGACAATGGGGTACATTACAAGCATATTCAAAATCAAGTATACTCACTTTGCATTCTGACATCTTTGAGTAAATAGGGTCTTATAGGGAAGTTAGAAATACAGAGCAAACAGATGCAATCCTATATCACTATACAGCTCCTACTGTGAGCACTTCCAAGCCTTCCGAACCAATACAGACAATGACAAAGAACGAAAGAAAAACTAAATAGGAATGAATGCACAAGTGTCATTAGCAGATACTGAATTGATTGTACCGGAATACAAATGATAATTCAAAGATGCTTTGGTGGCTGCTGCTGGTGAGTCTTTCTAATACAAGTGTAGCTCACGAGAATGTTTTCTACACATCCTCACAACCTGCTTTTTTAGAGTCATCAGCAGTATTTCATTTTTTGTCATGCTTTGGTCCCAAATCTGGTCTCCTGAGCAAGCCGGCTCTCGGAACAAGCACCATCAAAACCATAAATCACTGAGCCTAATAGCTTTCATTAACAATCACAACAGTTTTGCATCTGTGTGCATGTCCCACTAATTGGGGCAATTTGTCGCTATCATTTTGGCGACATAGTGCTGCTCTCCCTTTTAATTTGTAGGACAAACAACTTGTGGGCTGTGTTTGAAAAGCACCAAAGTGGCGCTTTTACTTCTCTCAAGTCTAAACCAAAATGACATAATTTTAGGTTTTTGTTTCCCAAGATTCCGTTTGAAATACAGAGATGATGATATGTTTCAACAACACAGTCTCACTCCCTGATAGTCCAATAGCGACGCTTGGTCAGGGTCCTTTGGCGTGCAGTTGTGACGCACCGAGTCTCCTTCAGCTTCATAAACGGACGCAAAGAGCTTTCAACTGATTGCAATGTATTCCCATCGGCGGCGGTATTTGACGCTCAGGGAAGCACCGCATCGGTCCATGTGGGCGGCAGTTAAAGGCAATTTTACACCCGGAAGTAAGTATTCTCTTTACTGTCGATTGATTTTACAGTGATATCTGCACTACTCATCAACTAAAAAAAAATGGCTATTTTGCACATCCCTTTCAAGATTTTCAAAGGTTTATTGACATATCATATACACAACTACGGTGTAGTTATGCAATGAATGAAAAACTTGGGTCACAGGTAGGGATGCTCCGATCGCCAATTTTGGGGCCGATCGCCGATCGCCAGAATCAGTATCTGCTGATACCGATCGCCGATCCGATCGAGTGGGCGGGGCCTAAATGGAAGATTTAAACATCACTTTAAATCTTCCATTTAAAGTGATGTTTAAAACTCAGTTAATGGGGCTCATTCACTGGAGCTTCCACAAACAACAATCAACTTAATTATTACATTCAAATTATGTATATTATTCAAGTTTACATTCACTTTGGATAATAACACGGGAGAAATGAGCAAGCGCTCTCTTTTCCTCTCTCTCCCTCTCTCTCTCTCCCTCTCTCTCTCCCCCCTCTATCTCCCCCGCTCTCCCTCTCCTGACAGCCCGTCAGTATCGTCTCATGCAGCTCGCTGATCCAGTAATGTGTGAGGCCGACAGTGAAGAATAAACATATTTATAACTAGTTTAGCTTGTTCCAGAGGTAGATAAAATAGCTAAGTGTGTTAGGTCTAACTCTTAATGTGTGTTCTGCTCCGCTCACCGGTCCGTCACAGCGGGTGGAGCTGCAGGATTTCTGCTTCACACTCACGTTGCATACCGCTATTTTACTGTCTTTTTCGGACACCTTAAAATAATGCCAGACCGGTGAAGCCATTTTGGCGAGCTTGTTTTGCCGCACACAGAGAAAAGTGTCATGTATTTTACGTGATGCGATCGGCCCTCGCGATCGGCATGTTTAGAGAGCACCGATCGATCGGTAGAGAGTGAATATCGGCAGATCTCGATCGGTGACCGATCGATCGGAGCATCCCTAGTCACAGGTTCCTCAACAGTGCATTACAAGACATCTATCAATATGTGTATACCTCCACCATTAAACTGTCGTATTCTGCACATTTCTTATTCTATCTACATACATCTTATAAGAGTATAATAAATATGTGTAATATCGGTTAAAATAAGTGCTTCAACATAGTTAACATTGCAGGAAAGTTGATTGTCAAGTCCCAAAACAAACCATGCAATATATTAGACTTTAAGTACTTTGTCAGGCTTAATATTTATCTGTAGGTACCCCCAAAGCTTTTTGCTTACATGTATTTAAAAGAAGTCCTTAACTTAAAGTATTATTTAATGTTTGTCTGTTTTGCACATCCTCCTATTAATATCTTTGTACATCCGGCACTAAACTGTTTTATTCTAGATATCATTTACAGTATCTTCTTGATATTTTCTATCCTATATTTCTATCATTGACCTTCTACTTTCCCCCTAATTTGTATGTACTCTTAATAATTAAATGTTTTCATCAAATATAACACATTCAACAAAACATGCAGCAGACCTTAGGCAAGGCAAGGCAAGGCAAGTTTAAGCTGTCAAGTTTACAGTGTTAACACAATCAAATATACTGCTGTTTCCGGTTTAGTTTACGACGGATATATTTTGTGATCCACAGACGACCACTCATATATTGTTTTGATATTTGTCACACAAAAGCGATAGGAAAAACCCACAGCAACACAGAAAAGATGGTCTTAACATGAACCAGTTAATAAAATATAATAATATCAAACAAAATATTACTATTAACTTTATTGTGAAATTAAAACAGAACGGTAAAATAATAGTTTCCGGTCTATTCTGAGGCCCAATCTCTGTAGATAAATAAAGAACTAAACCAGATGTGTAATATTTAATGCAGCCGAACCATTTATTACAATGCATTTATGTGATGAATTTCAAGCAAGCACTAGCTGAATAAAGTAGAATTTTATCTTTTACGAAACGTTTTTTTCATATGGAATGCAGTTGGAGGTCAACCAATCACAGGGTTTGTCGAGCAAAGTGCATGGTGTAGTCTCAAACGATAGCTGAAGACAGGGTGCGTACGGGTGCTGGAAATCCTTGAAAATGCTTGAAATTGTACGAGGTGTTTTCAAGGTATGAAAAGTGCTTGAATTTTGGGAATGGTGCTTGAATTTGGGATAAAGTGCTTGAAATTGTAAATGCTTTACTTCGCTTTTTAGATTAAAAGAAAATAAAGAAGTCGGAGCGCGCTTAATTGCTTCGCTTTTACATAAAACAGCTCCGCTCCGGCCTTCCCGCGCAATGCGCGTGACCGGCAAGTGTTTTTGTTACGTGTGTGACCTGGGCATTCTGATGAGAGTGATAGATGACAGTATGCCAGGAGGTTGCTGTTTCAACGAGCGTTGGCTAGCAGAACACAAATACAAGCCATGGCTAAGACGAGGGTCAAGCGAAGCCCAAGAGTAGCCTCCTGCAAAGTGTGCAACAATAACGATGCGAGAGTCTGCGCTGACGAGCCACACCACACGAAAGGTACGCCATCGTAGAGCATTTTAGATTAGGCTATCATTGCATGTAAAATACATGACACTTTTCTCTGTGCGCGGCAAAACAAGCTCGCCAAAATGGCTTCACAAGGCAGTATTTTAAGTGTCCGAAAATGACAATAAAATAGCGGTATGCAACGTGTGTGTGAAGCAGAAATCCTGCAGCTCCACCCGCTGTGACGGACCGGTGAGCGGAGCAGAACACACATTAAGAGTTAGACCTAACACACTTAGCTATTTTATCTACCTCTGGAACAAGCTAAACTAGTTATAAATATATTTATTCTTCACTGTCGGGTCGCTCATTACTGGATCAGTGAGCTGCAGGAGATACTGACGGGCTGTCAGGAGAGAGAGAGAGGGGGAGAGAGGAAAAGAGAGCGATATCGGTATCGGCCGATACTGATTCCGGCGATCGGCTCCAAAATTGGCGATCGGAGCATCCCTAATAATTGTATATGATATGTTTTATAATGATTGATCATGAAAGTGTTATCAAAGCTGGTAAAGGTGCAGCTAGTTTGAATGACTTTGTATACTACAGAGTAGCTTGTGAATTTACTCCAGGTGGAACTAAAGTCTGATTTAACACTTGATTATATTTCACATCATTCATCCACATCTGTAAAGTAACTAAAGGTATTAAATACATGTAGTGGAGTAAAAGTACAACATTTACCTCTGACTTATGTTTACTGCCAACCTAAAAGTACCTCAAAAATAGTAATCAATAATATATTGAAAAGTTATTTGGCTGATTGTTTTATATTGGCTCAGCCAGGTTATATGGGATGCCCAGTCTACGTACAGATGGGTCACACATTTTGAAATATTAAACTTAGTTTTCTTTTCTAACATTTTTAATTTTTCATCCTCATGTAGAATGCTATTATGAAACACACATTTGGTTGTTTATAGCATAAAGAACATCTGATTTAATGTGAGGTAGGGAAATAATCATTTGAGTATAAGTATGTGTATATAAACATGTAATTTACAACAGCTGTAAGATGCTTGAAAAGCTTGAAAATGCACCTTGAAAATGCTTGAAAAGTGCTTGAATTTGACTTTGGAAAAGGTGTAAGAACCCTGTGAAGATTATGGGTAGTGTAGTGTCTTCTGCCATCCTAAACTCCGATACAACTATTTGAGTCGAAGGGGAAAAACACGAAACCATTGTACACAATTTAAACCAATCAATGTTGTGTAATTAACAAGGATAGTCTGCTGTTTCTGAGTTGATGAGTAGTGCAGATATCACTGTAAAATCAATTGACAGTAAGGAGAATACTAATTTCCGGGTGTAAAATTCTCCGATATCCAATGGGAATGGACGCTCACATTGCCTTTAACTGCCGCCGACATGGACCGATGCGGTGCTTCCCTGAGCGTCAAATACCGCCGCCGATGGGAATACATTGCAATCAGTTGAAAGCTCTTTGCGTCCGTTTATGAAGCTGAAGGAGACTCGGCGCGTCACAACTGCACGCCACAGGACCCTGACCAAGCGTCGCTATTGGACTATCAGAGAGTGAGAGTGTGTTGGTTTCAACATTAACCTGTTACGCACCGCCCCCCCGGTACCGGGCGGATAAACGCGTCATTTGCAGGAAACAACGTCTAAGGAATCTTAATATTTAATAAACTATGAATGTTTTATATCCATGTAACGGGAAGAAACTCAGCTAACTGATCTTTTTAATTTGTTTTTCCAAAAAAAAAACACAATGCTAACACTCAGCCTCTGAATTAGCCACGAGCGAAAAAATGTAACCTAAAACGGCACCTAAACTCACAATAACTCCCTTATTACCTTTCCTAGATGCACAGCCAACCCCTCGATTAGCATCGCCTGGAGACACAGAATCTGTGTAAAAAACCTCAACACTCAGTGATAAACATTTGCGACGCTATAAACGAAAGCGTAACATGTGGAGCTAGGTAGCTAGAAACGCTAACATGGCTTACCTTGGTCAAAACTGGTCTTCAATGGCATTAAAACGATAAAAAAACGATGCTGCAGTTAATCCATAGGTTAATCCAATGTGTCTGTGTCCTCTTTGAAAGGATTTCTGATAATCCATAAGCAATAAAACTGCTTTTTCGTTTCCAAATGTCAGAGCTAGAGATAGGTCCACTCTGCTGCAAAAGGACATGCGCGAAGCCCCCACCTCTTCTCTTCACAACGTGTGTGTGTGGGGGACTCCCCCTTCGATTCTATTGGCTCTAACGGTCAGAAAGAGGTGTCAACCATCAAAATCGACCAAGGCGGGCCAGAGATATGGAAAAAAAAAACATTTTCACCCAAATCACCTCAGAGGTGGAGTGGTTTTGGCTAAATCTCTCTAAAAAGGTCAAATGTCACTTGTTTTGCATCAATCTTGATACAGGGATATATGTTGTACTTTGGATTCCTAAAGCTTTTAGTCTACTAACCCATCATCCAAGGGTAGTTTTCACTATAAGTAAAAAAGAATTTTTGGACGGACACTATCATTTACAGTTTTTTACTATGTAAAATCTGAATTTTTTTTAAAATAAAAAACATCTATATTGATTCTGACACTTCTACATCCAACTCACAGATGTAACCTTGCTTTGACAAAAGAAATTATTCATATAACCCTTTTAGAAGTTAAGTTGTAGTCATTTGTATTGGGCATGTCATTTTCGAGCCTGAAACATGAAAAACAGGCTTGGTGCTTAACAGGTTAAATTATTTACTATCCTTTGATCGATTTGTCTGTGAGTGAAAAGAGCCATTATACAACTATGTCGCACTTGAAATGGTGCGTTCATCATTTTTCCAACAGCCTCAGGATTGTTTGTTTCCGTTAGCGAATCCATCCTGGTTTCTAATTGGATAACTGTTTCTGTTTTTTGTCTGCTTCCATCATTACAGTGATTATGGCTACGAGAGACGGACCGACGGCAAGTGCACCCCCGCCTTTTGGTTCCATCCATCATCCATGTCCAGGAGTTGTACCACAGGGATGACGTTCCTGAACAGCACCGGGTGAGCGCAGGACGAGAGACTAGAACAGGCGCACGTATTCTCCATAGTGACTCGCAGCCATCAGGCAAAATGAGTGGTGCATTTGCGCCGTATATCTCTGTGTATGTTAATTAGTTTCTCAGGGACAACAAGGACAGGCTGAGAAAATGTGAGGCTGAATGATCAAACATGCTACAAGTAATAACCGCTGGTAGTGATGTGATCCACTGTGGGTGAAGAACAGTTTGAGTCATGTTTGAAAATACTGTGAATTCATTATTATATATATATATATTGTTCAGTGTAGGCGGGTGTAAGTAATGTGGCCTTTCAAGATTGTACTCTCTTTAACAAAACAACCTTCCTTTCAAGGTCCATTTAAAGCAGTCCTAGAGGTTTTGAACATGTCTTACAGTAGATACAGATTTAAAACATGTGTTATCATTTGCCAGTGCAGTGAAATAAGTGCACTTAATAAGAATTCTTGAAATAATAACTCTGGATGATAGAAAACTGACAAATGTCTTGAAATAGAAATACATGTCAAGTTTACACATGTTGTGGTGTCCTGCATAAGTATATTGAAGCTTTCTTTATTTGTCCACCGGCAGCTACAGGAAAGTTGTCTCCAATAACTGCACGTCTGGAGTCAGTGTGGAGTACACCTCCCGCAGGCAGCAGTGTCCCATCCAGGCCCCCAAAGGTCTCCACCTGGTCACCAGTGAGGGCACGCTGTCAGCCACTCTGGGCACCAATGTCACCTTCCTGGTTTTTCTGGAGGAGGTAAGCGGTTTTCTGTTCATTTTTAAAAAACTTCACAAACTGTCACACCATACCAAGCATTTGTCACATTCTTATTTAGCTCTCCTGCTAGGTGAAAACTCTTTTTTTTCAGTTAAATTGTTAGAAATATGGCATATGGAATTGCAGTTAGCAGCTGTGGATCCTGCTTCATTACACTTCCGTATGTCCCATGACTGGACTGTTACTATGGAGACAAACACATGCTCAACTCCAACCATGTTATGTGCATACTCTCTTTACATACACTCACAGTTATATCATTGAAAATATAAAAATAAAACCTTCTGCTCTCCCTGGCCAGCTTGGTGACACTGCCATAGGACCAAGGACAGTGATGTTACTGACTGAAGTTCTGTACTTAAAGTGGTACTACACCCATTTCCAAAGTAATAGATTGTTGTTCGTAAGGTCTATGGCAGTGCAACATGTTAATTTACTATAACATCTCCAAAATCAGAGTGCTGAAACTCAAATGTTCTTGTCAAATGTGCCTAATGTAATGCCATGAACTGCTCCAGATCCCAACTCAACAATTGAATCTTTCCTCTCTACCGCCTGGATAAAGCAAAATATAGAGCGTTTTTTTTTTTAGCTATATAGCTATTTAGCTAAAAGCCATGGAAAATACTCTAATTCCTAATTTAAGGCATAACTTTACTTGACTTGTTGGTACTTTTCACTTTACTACATTTATCTAAAATCCACCTTACTAACCCTATCAAGATAATCATAGATAAATCTAACTAAATGATATCCTAAGTATATTTTATGTGTTCAAACCTCCCATTACAATGGCGCTTACATGCTAGTCATTTGTTGTACTTCAATAATAATATAAAGTTTATAAGGATATACCTCTCTGAAGGGGGCAGTTTTGCCCAACAAGTACATCACCATCTTAAATCTAAGACTCTTGTGTTTTTCCTGAGTGATACAGATACTTTTACTTATTTAAATATATTGATACATTTCCAACACTTCCCATGGATGTGTAACTGTAATATAGACGGAAACAATTTCCTTCCAGCATTCATGAGGGGCATCTCGCAGTATTGTTATGATAAAAAATCCCATATTTCCTAAAGAGATTTTCTCCTTATTTCCTCAAGTAAATCTGTAGTTGCTAGTATTACTAAGAATTTTACACATCAAAATCTATTCACAGATTAATTTATAAACAGGTGTTGCAACCCAATCATTAGGATTCCCTCCCGCAATAGCAGTACTTAATAATTAAAGCTATATAGACTTAAATACCATTAAGTGGACATATCTATCTAAAGTACCATACATTATGATAACTACAGTAGGACCACAAAAACGACCAATACTCGGACCCTGCAATGAAAGTGTCAAGCTTTAGGACATCATTTCACATCTTTGTACAAGAAGAACAAAGTGCCATGGTGGAGTGCGATGTTACAAGGTGTTTGAACCTGAGAGTATCTGTGGGTTTGATGTTTCCAGGGCGACGGGGCGAGGACAAGCATTACCCTGGACTTCGGAGACGGCCGCGCTCTGACCTACTCCAACGTGAGCTCTATTGAGGACGGGATCAAACACGTCTACAAAGCTGTGGGAATATACCGAGTGACGGCCACAGGGGAGAACATCCTTGGCTCAGAGACAGTCATGCTCTATCTGCATGTAACATGTAAGATACTGAATTTGGCGATATTTGGTGTTATTAATGTGCATATGTATTTATTAGGATAGAGTATTTAGAGCTAATGCTTGAAACTGATGTCTTAAATCACTGGTTTAAGGAAAACAGAAGATGAACAATACTGGCATATACAAGGGCGCAGTCACATTGTGTGCCACCAACCGTTCTGCCAAACTCTCCTCCAGTCTGCATAATTAACTGATTCTTAACCTGGTCATGCTCATGTCTGTCTAGAACTAGGGTTGTCAACGTTAATGTGTTAATGCACACCAATAATCTGGAAACCTTAACTCAACGCAAATTAATCAAATTACCAAAATTGACCCCAACTTCCTCCTGAAGTTCCATCGAATCATTTTAACCATGAATTGGATGGCAGTGAAAAATCTAAGAAAGCAGAAAAATGGGCGCAAACATGTATTTCACTGACAGGAGACCACCAAGACGACCTCAGTGTAACTGCAAACCCAATCCAACGGCAGCTCCACTCATTTGGTTTAGATATGAGAATGAAAATCGAGGGAAGGCATTTGTTTGAACCATGTGCTCGTTTCTTGAAGTTGCACAGGAGTGGGAGATAGAGGACAACGCTGTCTACCACTGTAGGAACAGATATTGTATGATAGCAGCAGTAAGATTGCTGACATACGAGCATATGCCCTGTGTTGCGCACATTATTCAGAAGGCAATCACAGCAAACGTGACAGTAGCTTTAGATAAGTGTCGGGAAATGGTCGAACTTGCCATGCCAATAATTCAAAATGTTATAAGAATGTAAAAAAACATTAGATTTTTCTTAATAGTTTGCGTTGTATTTATTTATATCTAGAAACGTATTTAATCTCTTGCTGAAATACAAGTAAATTTAAGACTTGCAATTAATCATGATATATCACAGATTATTATTGTTTTATCCTAAACCTTTTAACTACATGTCTACACTCCAAAAACAGTGGCACCACCTAAAAATTACAATGGACGTCACAATTGTAACTATCTCCTAACACTAGGACGGATCAAATGCAGAGAAAACATTTTGTTACTGGTACCTGCACTATGTAATGACAATAAAAGTAAAAAAACAAACAAATCTACCTGGTGTGACTTAAGACATACATATCTTCTAATATTTGAATATATTCAAAGGAATGATCTAAAAAATTACTTCTCTTTGACTCTTTCTGCTTTCCATTTTTTCACATTCAGAGGAATTGCGGCTCTCAACTTGTACACGGTGTACCACATTCTGTTCTTTATCTCTTCACAGAACATCCTCCCCTCCCATAACCAAACAAACAAGCGAGATAGAACAAATCCCATTAAACTTCCACTCAAGTCAGTATATGCCTCACAGCCGCTCAGCCCGTGGAGCCGCTGCAGCCTCACATGTAACGGGCTGACCACCCCTGGTGTATTCTGGGGGTGACAGATGTAACGTAGCTGACTTATTGATCAGGGAGCGCCGCTGTCCCCGCCAATCTGTCAATCCTGTGAGCCAGCCAAACAAATAGAGCCACCGCAGGCTCCCGGAGTGCAGCAAATGAAAAATAACACACATATGGCAGCTAACGGTCCCAGCGCAGGACGGAATTCTGAATAAACTCACCCTGCCCTCCTACTTAAAAACCCCACTCTCCACCTCTTTCTCCTTCATTTCAAAGTTGGTTCTTTCATTTTTTACTTGTTTTTGGAGTTCTGTGAAAATGTGCTATATCTGTGTACCTGAGTAGGTCAGCTGGAGCATATCCATCTCTCAGCTCCCTTTGTGGCGGTAAAGAATAAGGAAGTGAACTTGACTGCTGTTCTGCTGCCCAGCCAAGTGGGAACGGTCACCTACATCTGGTGGATCGGAAATAACACCGAGGTAGTGTACACTCAGGACTTTCCAACTTCTCTCTGGTACGCCTTTTGCCGATTGCAATTAAGTAGGTTGCTGACTCTTCAGCTCCAGAATGCGAGAATTGTTATTTTGCTAAGCAATTTTTGGGCATCCAGGTTGCAGAATATTATGGCCTTGTTAATCAGAGAATATCAGAGGCACAGCCTAATTACTGATAGCCAGTGAAGTGTATCCTTCTTTCATTATAACTCCTCTAACTAAGGTCAAAGACTGCCTGATCAATCCCACACATAAATGAGGTCCGAAAATACAATTTTCTTTAGTCTAACCGGTTCTACCGAGTGATCTAACCATGCAGAGAAACAACACGTAGCTAGAAATGAATGCAACGACCGCTGTATGTGGAATTTTCCATACTGTTTGTTAGTGTTATTTTTCTCTGGCCCATCTTTGGTTGCACATTTATGGAGTGGATTTATAGAGCTCAGGATTATTTTTGAAATGTTGTACAATAACAGTATATTGCTACCCAGAAGAAAATACAAGAATAGCAGGCTAATTGGCTAACTCGCGCTAGCCTCACAAGCTAGGCTACATATTAGCATGCTAAAACATGTTTTAGATTACACTTTCATCAAGTGACTTACAATAAGTGGTTTTAACCATGAAGAAACCAACTCAAAAATCATGCAGGTAAATTAACCAAAATTGAAGTGGTAGGGTGTTTATCTTTGTTATGCGTAAAATGTCTCATGTTTAAAAATCCTGTACATTTGCAACACAGAGTGATTTCACATCGATGTGTGCTTCACTTCAAAGCCGTTTTCCTCTAGTTAGTGCATTCAATATTTAAAACCCAGGAAATTCCTAAAGAAAATGTAAATCAGACAACTTTGGAGTTCCCAGAAGGCGGTTGTATCACTTGTCCTTTGGCAGAGGTTAAAATAGACTTCAAACCTTTAGCTCTGGTGCCAAGCTAACATGCCCCAGACCAGTCTCATTAAGCACAAAGAGAGGGAAATTAAGCAAATCGATGTCTCAGGCAGAGCACTAAAGCTGCGTTGGCACTAACTGGTTGGCATCAGCTGCTTCTGACATGCTTCAACAGCTGGGAGGCCACCAGCTAACAAGTAATCTCCAATCATCTTCATGCAAGCAGTGTGGTCGTTATGAACTGACACTTTTTACTATTTTGCTGATATGCAGCTCATGCCAATGCTGGTTTGCTGCCATAGCTCTAGCACTACCATAACCTCCTTGTTCTATAATAAACTTTAGGTATTGAGATTGAGGGTTAATGCTAGGGATGCTCCTTGCGCCAATTTTGGGGCCAATCGCCGGAATCAGTATCGGCCGATCGCCGATCCGATCGAGTGGGTGGGGGCTATGGGGATCTTCCATTTAAAGTGATGTTTAAAACTCAGTTAATGGGGCTCAGTTAATGGGGCTCATTCACTGGCGCTTCCACAAACAACAACCAACATAATTATTACATTCAAATGAAGTACATTATTCAAGTTTACATTAACTTTGGATAATAACACGGGAGAAATGAGCGGAAGCGCTCTCTTTTCCTCTCTCCCTCTCTCTCTCTCTCCTGACAGTATCGTCTCATGCAGCTCACTGATCCAGTAATGAGTGACCCGTCAGTGAAGAATAAACATATTTATAACTAGTTTAGCTAGTTCCAGAGGTAGATAAAATAGCTAAGTGTGTTAGGTCTAACTCTTAGTGTGTGTTCTGCTCCGCTCACCGGTCCGTCACAGCGGGTGGAGCTGCAGGATTTCTGCTTCACACTCACGTTGCATACCGCTATTTTACTGTCTTTTTCGGACACCTTAAAATACTGCCAGACCGGTGAAGCCATTTTGGCGAGCTTGTTTAGCCGCGCACAGAGAAAAGTGTCATGTATTTTACGTCATGTGATCGGCTCTCACGATCGGCCTTTATAGAGAGCACCGATCGATCGGCAGAGAGTGAATATCGGCCGATATCGATCGGCGGCCGATCGATCGGAGCATCCCTAGTTAATACATGTGTTTATCGGGAGGAATTTGTTCTCCAGCAGAATCCTTTTCTGAAAGGTCCTTCTGAAACAGAGCCTTTTTCAAACAAACACAGCTCCACACCCAATTGGCTATACATGCTTGATTTCTTGTTGATGTGTCCCCGACTGAATTCATAGAGACAGTAAAGATCAATACTAGGACACTGTTATTTAATAAAAATACTATTATAAATATCTCAGAATCTTATTAAAATCAGAATACTTCATTTATACCGGTGAAAATAAAATGTTGTGACATTTGTTCCTTTTATATTAGAATTAAAATATTTACCAAACATTAATAGAAACATTAATAGAAACGTGCAATAAACCTATAACATTTAATATGATGGATATATGTATATATATGGGAAACACAAGTAAAATAAAATAAACATAATAAACATTTATGAGCACTTCCCCATTATGCATTCAAATGCATAATGGGGAATGCAGAAACCTCTGAAATGCGATTGGAATGAAGATACTTCAAAAAGCAACCTGCTTTTTTCTGGACCAACAGAAGCACTGCACGCTTTAAGTCCTGTTTTACATATTCTCCACTGTGTCTGTCATCATAATTGTAGTTGTGTAAATGTGTTTGCTCAATGCCAACAGGGGCCTTCCACAAGGACAGCCAGTTATGTCAGTGGGTAATAAACCACAGCATTATTAGCATCTTATAGCTATTTGAAAAACAAATGGAGACGTGAGTAATGACAGTGAGGAGAGGCGGTGTCGCACAGGGAACTCTCTGCGGGCCCGACACTTTATTCAGCACAGCAGATTGTTGCCAAGCTTTGAATGTGTGTGTGTGTGTGTGTGTGTGTGTGTGTGTGTGTGTGTGTGTGTGTGTGTGTGTGTGTGTGTGTGTGTGTGTGTGTGTGTGTGTGTGTGTGTGTGTGTGTGTGTGTGTGTGTGTGTGTGTGTGTGTGTGTGTGTGTGTGTGTGTGTGTGTGTGTGTGTGTGTGTGTGTGTGTGTGTGTGTGTGTGTGTGTGTGTGTGTGTGTGTGTGAATATTTGACAGCGTGCCAGAAGGCTCGCACCTCTGTAGTGTAAATAACAGCAGTGTGACATCGGCCGTGGATAAGGGGTCTCTCTCTGGGACCTCCAGACTCTGACTCTCTTCATCTCCCTCTCTCCTACTTTCCATCTCCCTCTTTCTCCCTCAGCAACCGGTAATCACCCTGGAGGGAAGTGTGGCTTGCACGTTCTCCCGGGAAGGCATCAATGCAGTCACTGTGCAGGTGTCCGCAGGGAATATTATTCTGCAGGACAGAAAAGCCATCGCTGTCCACGGTGAGCCAACTCTGAAACTCCACCTCCGCTGGGAATTTGTATCTCTGTAAACACAAGTTCACTCAACACAATTTACTTAATAATACACAAATAGATTTTACTTTGCAGTATACCATGTTGTGTTTTTATACACATTTGACAAACAAACAAAACAGACAATAGACAGCCTCAAGGCTCCATTAATTCAAAAACAATTTAAAACAAGCACATTCATTATAGTCGCTTTATTAGCATTTCTGCAATAGAGTGGTGCAGACCAGGGCCAGGAAGTAAGCATCTCAAGGGCTCCCTAGACAAAAAGCTATGGGATATCCCCATTGGATTTCCTGGCTATTGCAGAAAAATAAGCCTTGAGGAAAACTCACATTTTTGATATTTATTACATTTTGTTCAGTAGGATAATCTCCACATATTAACACCACTTTATGATTTTGAAGGGTCAATGCAATTGGCAGAAATAAAAAGCTAACGTAAGGCTAAAAACGTATCAGCAACGCTAAGATAAGGGCAGACACATTTCAACGTGATGACGTTAATTAGATTATTTAGTCACTTATTACAAACCACAGTTTTTATGACAGAGAAAAACATTATGTTTTATTATTATGACACTCAGAGATTCACGAGTGGGGTATTTTATTAAGTTCATGTTCATTAACAAAATGTGAAAATCTCTTAAGCTTATGGCACAGACCTTATTACAGACTTCTAACCACAAACACGTTTAAGTGGTAAAATGCTGACTAGTTTCAGGGTTTTAAGACTCATTACCGCACCACTCTATGTTGCTCTGACTTTTTTATCTGAGGGATGGCCGCTGGAACACATTTCTTTTGATACCCTTTTTTTTGTAAAGTATATCCTTTATCGTTTGTGCAGAAGGAAAAAATTCCCTGTGCAAAGGGTAGAGGCTGTCGTTGTAACCCTTGTCTAAAGGGATCCTAGGTGAAGATGTGATTCACCAATCAACCTTTTAAACCATTTAATTATTAACCGTATGTTATTACCTCTGCAATAAGGTTTGGTTTTTGGCTCGGTTTGTGTGTTTGTTTTTTCTGTTTGTCAGCAATATTATAGAAAACTGGTACCAGATTTTCATTTATTAGGTAGAAGACTGATAGACTGCATTTATATCAGTTTTTAGGTACGCAAATTATGATTCACATTACAAGATATGGCATTTAAGTTGCATTCATATATTGTCGGAATAATGGGCAAAACACAAACCCTACTGAGAAAATGTATTGGCTTTGCCAATGGTCTGCACTTTTTGCATGTTTTTTTAATTTATGATTCTATAGTTATTTATCATATTGTACTTCCCAAGTGTTACCACTTTCCATGAATCGGCTTGTTCATGTGAAAAAGATTTGTTATGAAGTCTTATAAATAATGTATCAAGTATAGATAAATAATTAAGCAACTTTTACCAACTGTTTACTAGATTATACACAATGCAATAAAGTATTAATAGAGGTTTTTATGACAACATAGTTCAGCAGTACTTGAAGAGATTTGAAGACACTGGCGATAATATGGAATTATACTTTAAAGATGGTCTTAGATTTTGGTCCACCTGAGCTAAGGATAAGTAAAAGTAGCTCACACAAATGTATTTTCCTCCTTGCAGAATATTTCCGCTCTCATCTGCTCGCCTTTTCATCAAACCTGGACGACCACAACCCTGATGTTGCAGAATGGAGGCAGGACGTGAGCCGAGTCATCAAGAAGTCTCTGATCCAGGTAACGCTCTCTCAGGTCTTCTCATGGAAACCGATGCTTTCCTCCAGTAAGTGCTGTCAGCACTCGCCTGGACCTCTGACGGTCTATTAGTGCAGCCTGACCTCCCTACGGCTCTGAGACATGAATCTGACTTTTATGATGATAAATGACATGGCAAGATGGAAGAGAGGGGGGAAAAATACAGTTCAAGAGCATGCTGATTGCAGTGGCTGGCACACACTTGGAGTTCAGGGCCGTACAGGAACAAGGCTGGGGATGTTGTGTACAGAAGGATAAATGTCACTCGGTGCCTGCACTGACCTAAAAGGACGCGAGTGCTTTCAGACATGTGAAATGTAAGACATGATTCAAACTCCCAGCATGCAATGTGAGGTACATATTTTTGCCTCATTAACTTTGTTTCTTACATCATCCGCTGTACGTAGATTCTTTATTCCTAGCAACAAGCAATCTGGGCCTTGCATCACACTTTTTTTTGATCGTGCAAAAATCAAAATTGATGCCAAAACTATATTCGGTTTTTCAGTCTTCAGTGAACACGTCTGTTTTTGTTATTTGTTACTGACATCATTTGTTCATGACAACCCCAGCCTGGAAGGCAGAACACCAAAGGAAGAACAATTTCAGTTGAAAATATGACATGATATCTTAAAGCATTCACATTCACTGCGGCAAAACAGCGCAAGAGCTGGAAGAGGAACCAGAGGATTTATTAACTGACATGCTTTCTATTTGTTTTAAGTTCCTTGCAGTAGAACAGCAACATCTTAGCATCAACACCAGCAACATCATGCTGCTAAAGTGGTCAAATGGTTCTACTTAATGTGCTTAATGGATTATCAGATGATGATCACACAGATAGATAAAAGCCCTTGTGTTAGTACAGGCAGATACTCATTAAAAGCAATGGTTTAGATCTGTTAATATACATCATTTAAATCTAACAGATGACAAATTATGATGCAATTAGCTCATATCATGCGCTTCATAACTTAAGATAGACAATATTCAATATTACGGTAACAGTTGACGATGCACTAATGCCCTATAATCATCTTTAGTTTTGTTTTAAGACACCTTGCACTTGACAAATATTGTTATATTGTGATCTTAACAAAGGGCCCTGCACTGAAAAAACTGAAATGTAGATTCAACAAATGTCACATAAATGTATTTAGTTAGTTGAAATCAATAGGTTCAACTTAATGTTATTGCTTTTAACTAAAATAATAACTAACTAATATAGTTATATGAAATGTATTGACATAATTATAGTTTTGCTAAACTATGGTACTTCTACTTTTTTTTTAAATGTCCTACTTTGCCTATTTTTAAATCTTGTTTCAAGACGTACTTGTTCTCCCGTGCTTTTGCAGACCACGTATAAGAGTTATCAATCCTGTATGAGAGTTTTTCAGTCTGTGGCTATAGGTTTGGTTTTATAGTCTCGTGTTTTTACATTGTCCTATCGGTTTTTTCTAAATGTATTTATGCTGCTTTTTATAAATGTATTGATGTACAGCACTTTGGTCAACTCTTTTGTTTTTAAATGTGCTATGAAGTTGGATTGGATTGGATAGTACAATATCTGATACTTCTCCCCCTCTGCCTACAGGCCACAGGTGTGCGCGACGATCAGATCTTGGTCACCATCCTCCCAGGTTTACCTACAGCTGCAGAGTTTTTCCTTCTACCCGACAAACAGCTCACTGAGGGCAAAGCGGAGAAGAGCTCTGCTCATTTAGATCAGGTGAGTCAACAACCTGCTCCCTCTGCTCCCGTCTCCAGACACTGCATGTCTGGGCGGATATATTTCCCCTCGTTATCCTCATTGAAATTCCACCATGCTAAAGTTTGAATCAAATCTTTGCTTTTTCCTGCCTTTGTGAGTCATGGGTTGATCCCTTTTTTTGCAGCAGCAGCTTGTCCAGTAATTGCTCCCTGAAACAAAAGTTCCTCCTTCCTCCAGCAGATGTCAGTATTGTTCCGTTGAAGCCTTTCCAGGTCTTTCGGCGAGTCTAATTTTAGAACACGCCTGAGGAATCTCTGCAATAGACTCATCAATAAGCCTGACAAGTATTAACAAGTTATCACGGGGAATGGCTTTTTAACTCCCTCTAGTCACATCCTGTGGGGGGGTTTGAGGCAGGAGGGAGAGGGGGGGTTGGAGTCTGGGGCCAGACAACGAAATTGTCCTGCTTGATCAGTTCAGTGAATCACAAGTGTATCAAGATGGACCAAATTAGCTGGGAGCCCCACGTAATAGATAATGACTGATAATAATGTTGGACCGCCTCTCCGTGGGAAGAATTCCACAGGCATGTGTATAGGGAAGGAAACTGGAAAGGAAATCAATTCGATCTTCCTCTTCCCTCCCTCCGCTCACACCTGGTTAAACTCCCGCAAAGATCCTCTCCTCGACACGCTGATGATAAATCCTCATTCAAGGTTGGCATCTTAAAAGTGTAGAACGCGCTCTGCTTAATACCATGTATAATTTACTGACCCTGGTATACAGTGGGAAAAAGTAATTAGTCAAAGCATAGTCTAAATTTAAACTGCTAAGAAATATAAAGCACGGGAATGAAGCTCTGCAGAAATTAACCATGGGAGGCTGTGGCTCGGTGGATAGTGCGCTGAACTTCAAATCAGGGGGTTGCAAGTTTGAGTCCCACTGCAGTCAGCATGTCGTTGTGTCCCTGGGCCAGACACTTCACCCCAAATTGCTCCTGTGGGGATTGCCCACAGTACTGAACGTATGTAAGTCGCTTTGGATAAAAGCGTCTAACAAGTGAAATGTAATGTAATCATATCACAATTAATTTGGCAAATGAGGAAGATAAGATAAATGAAGCCGAGGAAAGAAGAGGAAAAACTTGGATGTGCAGAGAGAAACGGAACATTTTGTTTAGTTTTGTCAATCCATGTATGCTCATAAAGGCAGATTAAATAGAGAAAAACTGTTTTGTGGTTTTGGAAAATCTTTCAAAAAGAGCCACATTTCATTTATTTGGGAAAGGATTAAAGCCTCGGGATAGAGATTATATTTGCGTGAGTAAAGGATCTAGGGGGAAAAAGGTTGGGCTTTCTACAGTTTACCTTCGGGTCAGGGTAATCTGCCAGATTTATATCAGAGTTAGATGCTCTCACTGCAAGAGGTTACTTGCCAGTCTGGAAAGCAGAGATCAAGTGAGGCAGCATCCTATGCATTATGCATCGCCTGAAAAAGGTCCCACAGACAAAGAGTCTTACATAAATAGGAGAGCTCAGATGGGGTTGTTGGTGGAGACAGTGAGGTTTCTTTGGGTCACGGGCACTTACAAATAATGCAGGTATCACTCCCTTTAAGATGTTCTGAGTTTAAAGTGCATCAAAGTATTCATGTAATGTGCAGTATGTAGCCACTTTAATGTTGTCTTGTCATTTTTCTGTTCCACTTGATGTATTATTTTTATTTATTTCAAGAACTGCACTTGTTATATAACTAAATAACTATGTTTTATTTGAAAAGCGTCACTCATTGTAACAAACTTGCTTTGGGTGGCATGGTACGGTCCTCAGGCATCATGTTCAAACATAAAATGCTTTATGAGGATTGCAACCAGATTGTAGTCACAAAACAGTCGCAAAAACAATAACCTTTCAAAAATATAAATCTGCATTTCTCATCAGAACTATAAAGCCGTTTAACCAATTATTTTGTTTTGTTTAACTAAATCGACAAAAAAAAAAGATATTAGCGATTTACCAAAATTAGCAATTGGCTGATAGCTGAACATTTATTAGTAAAAAATGCCGTTAAAAAGTCTGAGTTGTGTTTCTGTTTTGCTCTTCACAAACCCTTTAGAAATAATCTGCGTAAACATGACTGTTTGCTAACGTGTTTGACAAATCAATTTTACAAGGTGAAAATTGGTCAATGTTGTGTTGGTTGCTTGTTTTGCTGCTCCCAAGTGGCCAAAAAAGCCATGTATGAAGCCTTTATCTGATTCAGCTTGTGATTTTTGCTATATTATTTCACAAGAAATAATCAAAGTCACAAAAAATAACCAATAACACACCTTTGTTACCTTATCTTAAGCTACATTTCGTTTCACAAAGTGTTTCAATTATGTTAACCACCTGTTGTTCTTGGCAACTGACTATCAGGCTAGAATATTTGTGAGTGCTTTCAAAGGCAAGTTATATTTGGACTCAATTATGTTTGTCTGGCGTACAATTAATTGGATGAATCATTTCAAAGATTGATCAAGAACACAACCCGATTTGCTCTGAAATGTCAGAACACAGTTAATAAGTCAAGGAAGTCAAAACCATTGATAGGTGAGACTGAGGTTTGATGACATTTTCTACATACAGTTTGTTCTACTGAATAAAGCTAAGTTTTCCAAATCCTGTCCCACTCTGTGTCCCCACAGCTCTCTGAGGTTTTGCTCAGCGCCTTGAATCAAAACCTTGTCCAGTTCACGTTGCGGCCAGGAGTCCAAGTCACCGTGTACGCAGCACATTTATCAGCAGGTAAACCATTTTGATTGTGTCTGTTAAGCCTGGTCTCCTAAAAATAACATTCCCAGACATGAGAACTGCATTGTTAATTTATCTTGGAATATGTTAGTTTTTGACTAATCAAAAATCATTAACAATCAAAGTCTGCTTAGGTATGACTGTAACAGGACTTTACCCAGGGAGATTGGTTTTCTCTGTGAAACCAAAAGTTGTGTAAAATAACAAACATAGTTTTTTCCTTACGATATATATTGTTACCATGCATTGTGCTGAAAGTTTGAATAAAGTCGACTTTACTGACCTCGATTAGCACTCACCCTTAGTTGGCAACCAATCAGATTACAGTGGTACCAAGCGCCGCAAGCTAGCATGGGAGGTTTACAATAGAAACTAAGCTAGCAAGCGAGCTAGCTGTTTTAAACCGCAAGGCTCTGGGCTCTACTTAGTGGTGAGCAAAGAGCAAATTGATTATCAAGGGAAGGAAGGCTGCTTAAAACGGAGGAAATTATTTTATTCAAACATTGATGCAGTTTAGCTTTATGGGATGTCATTTTGTAGGACACAGGGTTTTTGTACATGTGCTATGTAAGTGGGACAGAACATAAAGCATCCAGACTATGAGGAGCCCTAGATCAAGTGAACAGTCAGTTATATTTTTATAATTTTTCTGCACCCGTCAACTAATAACCCTGTGTCTGATTGGCTCCCACCATGTAGCTACACAGAGACATTCAGAGAGTGAGCATCGTTACAAGTATGTGTGCCTCTTCCTATTGGGGATGCTGCTACTGTCCTAAAGGGGCTTATAAGATAAAGAGTAAGAGATACTACTGTATATTAAAAATGATTAATTTATAGGTGTCAATTTTCTTGTGGACTGCTCATTGCATGATTCAGTTGGGTGGAAATACAGGTTGTGATAGTGTGTTGTGTTGCTAATACTCCACAAATCTTGTGTCCCTGTCTCTGCAGCGCCCCTAGTGGACACCAGCGAGAACCACAGTGGCTCTGCTATGCTAATGCTGCTATCAATAGTGGTTGTGGGCTTAGCTGTATTTGTCATCTACAAATTCAAGAGGTAAAGTGTTCACGGAATGCAGAGGTGGAAGAAGAACTCAGATAATTGTAGTAAAAGAAGCGATACCTAACTGTAAAATACTGTTATTAGTAAAAGTCCTACGGAAGAGGATTAGGGCAATGGTTGAGAATATTTGAGAGATAACCGAAAGTAAAAAAAAAATTCTGATATCAAAGTCAAAATTGTGAGAACAATTTCAGAATCCTGAGAAAAAAGTCAGAACTGAGAGAAAAACCATTAATTTCTGGCAGTTATTGTCTTCCGTAAAGTCCTTACTTGAAGTCCTACCTAAGTTAAAAGTACACAATTCTTAAATTACCAAAACTAAAAGTACTTATCTTGGGGAATAGCCAATTTCAGTGATTGAAATGCCTTTCTTTACTGCTGCTAGATATCTTAACCTATAATTAAATGAGTACGGATATTTAGAGGTTAATTATTTATTTGTATTAGCCTATAATCTGAATCTATAAAGTAACTATAGTTGCAACTAAATGTAGTGGAGTAAAAAGCACAATATTTACTTTCTAAAACGTAGTGGAAGTAGGATTAATTTAAAACGTTCAAATTGTATATGTACAGTACTTCAGTAAATGCACTTTATAACATTCCATCACTGATGAAATGTCATGTCTATACAGTCATCACGCTTTAGCCTAGGTGATAGAGAGGTGCTGAACGGTGTCATAGCGCTCTGACAGCTCAGTAAACAAAAGCTGCCTGCGAGGCTCCACAGAAGGCTGAAAGCTGTCTGTCAAACATCTTTACCGGCGCACAAAGCGCTTCTCGGAAAACAATCGGCTCACATCTGTGGATATCCTGGTGAGAATCTTTTGTCTGGTCATTCTTCGCAAAACAAATGTCAGTCAGGCTTCAGCCGCAATCGATAGTAAGCCTTTTGAATGCGGGCAGTTGACCTTTCTGAAATGTTAAATAATGTCCAAGGTGCAGTTTCAAGGGAAAATGGCACGAATGGTCATGGAGATTTACAGACAGATTAAAAAATCAGATATACAAACCTGCAAATTCACATCATCAAACAAGCTGGTGAAGTAAACAGGAATATTGCCTTGTTGCAGATGGTAGCATACTACCAATCCTCGGGTTGTGTCCTTTTTTTAAATTAAGGGTTCTGTCTGTATACGTTGCCTCACTGTAAATCTTTCCTCAAGGAAGATCCCAGGCCTCAACGTCTATGCGCAGATGCAGAACGAAAAAGAACAAGAAATGATGAGTCCAGCTAATCCTACAGAGACCACGCCAAGCTCACAGCGGGACTTGGTGCATTCTTTGGAGATTCTGGACACAGAGTTTAACTCACGGCCCATAGGTAAACACCCACTCCAGTGTTATCTCTTATTGGTGGTTGGCATTTTCATTTTTTGTTCTCCATTTCTTGCCTTTTACCATTGTGAGTGTTTTTGTTCTTGGGACTCATCCTGTGCTTTTTGTTTTGTGTTTCTCAGAAGTGAAATGATCCGGCCAAGTGGTGAACAACAGCTAAGCAAAAATGAGTATGATGAAAAGTGCAGCTGCTTCAAGCTAAAACTAGAAATGCATTGTCCTCATACTGTCGCATTTTAATAACCTGAGAATACAAATGGGTAACCAATGAAAGAATAATCTAGAATAAAAAGCGGTAGACGTTGCTAAGCAATCTCCCATTGGTGGTCAGCTGGGTTGAGATCAGGTGCGCTGAAGGCCTTAGCATATCATTTGTGTAAATGACATATTCATTACAACATTCAGTAAACCTTTGTAGAAACAGATGCTCTTTTGCATACCAATTCTATCATCTATTCAATCAATCAATCAATGTTTATTTATATAGCCCAATATCACAAATGTTACATTTGTCTCAGTGGACTTCATTCAGTTTTTTTCTCTATCATTTGTCACCCATCTGTGTATTATGATGTATTTTCTGTCCTAACATAATTGTGGGGGAAACTTCTGAAGCAATTGGAGTCAGGACTCAGAGAGACACGAGGAGAGCTGGAGCTTTGATGGCAAACACTGATGGTTTATTTGGAGCTTCGGCCGGAGAATTCACAAGACATGTCGCACGGGCCACGAGTTGACCACAAGGTTGAGATGCCACAATCAATTGCAGGGGTATTCAATTGCATTTCAAAGAGGTCCAGTAAGAGAAAATGTCATTAAATGCTCTGTTTTCGCAGTCTACCTTTCTCTTTTCTGAGCATGCCATGTGAAGTTACGCCGACTGTTTCTCTCTTCTTGTCTCGTCTCTGTGTGTGTGTTTGAATCTATCGTGCTGACTCACTGACTGCACCGATTTGATTGGCTGAGTAGCGTCACCTCCTAAAAACATTAAAAAATAACTTTTTTAAACCTTTTTATCTTTATGTTTTAAACACATTTTTTCAACATTTTTTACATTTTCAACATCGTGGATGAATCCTTATATGCTCCCGGCAACACACTGAACATCAACTTTGCCTCCTTATTACATTCTCCCCTACTTTAGTGCTGGGAACAATGAGTCTGCGTCTTTGATGCGCACAGGCGGATGATGCGGGGATCAGAGTCCTGCATCGGGTCTGGGAGGCTTTTGGTGTCCTCCTAGATGGAGAAAATAACCAACATCCCACGCTTTTTGAACCAAATACGCAACTGTGTGTGTTAATAATTGCATGTTTTCATTGCTCCTAGGATATGCGGGTTCGGGTCGGTTTGCGGATCTTGTGCCGACGGGTCGGGTCGGTTTACGGAACTAATTGGCAATATGTGCGGGTGCCGGGCCGGATTCGGAATTGCACGTCACGGGTGGGGGCGGGAGCGGGTCTTGAAAATCAGACCCGTGCAGGACTCTGGGGGGATGCAATGTAGACAGGAATAAACGCAGATCATCCTCTGGCTGCAGCCTTGACCGGTACTTGCTTTTGATCAAAGTCAATGCGGAAAAGCCGCACTCACACAGGAAGGTGGAGGTGAAGGGAATGAGCACTTTTACAACCTTTTCGGTCTCCACAGACAGCCAAAAGTGTGCAACTGACACTTTACTCATCTTGTTCTCGTAATTTTTTTCTCATGCCTTGCCTGAAGCTCTCTGGCGCCCCCCCAGGGAGGCGCGCCTCACACTTTGAAAACCGCTGATCTAGTTCAATATAGTAACTGACACCTGTTTCTTTCTCTGTTCCCGTTTATCCACAGGATGTATGAAACCTCATGTACATGTGAAATTCTCCACAGAACTCCCCACATACATCGTCTAAACTCTGGACTGGATTACCACTCCAGCTGCGTCATGGATATTTTTTAACATTCTGGACACAATGGTTTTGAGCTTTATACCTCTGCATGTTGGACCCTGCTGACACATACTGTGCTCTGTTCAAACCTGAAGAAACTGTGTACAGGTTTTTCATTCTCCTTCGACATGTGTCTGATAAATTAAACATTTTCCCATTTATTTATACAAGTCAGATACATAATTCAGAGGGAACGCCAGCATGAACTAGAGAGGATAACAAATTAATTGAACAACAATATTTTGGTTTTGCCTACATATCTGAGATTGGTTTGCTGTTCTATGAAGCTATCAGCAGTAGTGTATTATTTATTCATATGAATTGATGAAGTGAATTACACATTTATTTTGTAAATCATGACCGTCTGTTATAAATGTGTGTATTTTAATAACAAATGTCATACTAAACAGAAATGCTGTTGTAAAATGTGAATAGGGTAATTCAAAGCTTTTTGGTCCATTGTCTCTTGGGAAGCTGATTTATGGCACAATACACATTTTCTACTGAAATCTACTGAGTTTGGTTTTTCTGGTTTTATTTAACGTTTGCTGTTAATCTAATGCTTCTGGTACTATTTACGATACATACAACTTTGTAAAATGTTTCGTGCTTCGGAATAGGAGATTTCTCATTACCAACGCTACACCTTCAGACTGCAAGTGATCCCTACTGTTACAACTATTACAATAACTATTACACCTTCTAGGAACGGAAGAAGAGGACTATCCCATAAAAAGGAGTGGTTGAAGTGGCCACACCCCAATCACAGCCAACCTCACCACTGGAGGCAGAGTTCTATTTATCAAAGCTAAGATTTAAGGATGGTGCTGGAAATAAGATACTTTGTGGGAGAATCCAAAGAACATGGCAGCGAGAAAGAGAGAGAGACAAAGAGAAAGTGGTACGGATAGAGATGGTAGAGTGCTTTTTGGGGCCACGATGCATTAAGAGCATTGTACTGGATTGGATGGAATAAGTTGACTTCCTGAATACTTAATGTGGCCAGTCAAGCTCAAGGCCGGCTAAGGTTGGTGACACATTTAGGCTAATGTCCTGACTCGCTCTCAAGTAGCACCTTTCTCCATCCCGGCTCATTATACCAGGAGCAGGAAAACTAGAGCGCAGATGCTACCAGGCTACATGGATGGTTAGTTTGTTCAGAGGAATGGGAAGCCCTGCCGTTCTCTGTTTGTGAAATCTGACAGATGTAAATGCCTGATTGATGTATTTCAAATCTTCTGAGGCAACCTTTCCATATTAGTTGTTCCCCCTTTATTACTTTTTGGATGAAAAAATACAGAAGTGTGATTCTGTCAACTTTGGATGATTTTTTTTCACAATTGTACAGACATAGCTGTACATGAATTGCCACCATGGATTCACCTACAACACAATCAATAGAATGTACAGAAAAGCAACGATTAGGCACTTAAGGTGTTTTCACAAGTCATAGTCTTTTCAGCAAGTCCAGATCAAAGTGATATTGATACTTTTAGTTAGTTTTCTATTTAGCGTGCTATGGTTTCATAGTGCATAATCATTCCATCATTCTATTTGGTCAGACATTTGGCAGTAGAATATAGTAAAACCACCAGCCGGAGATAACACCAACAGAGCAACATGGAAGATAAACATTCCAAAGAAACGTTTGGTCCTGCTTTCATGTTCCCACCAAACACATTTGGAAAGTCTTCGAAAACCCCTGTAGTTAAGGCTCCAAGTTCTCTCGAACTCATTACAACCTGCCATGTCGTTTTAGATCCAAAACAGTCAGCCTTTTATCCTCTTCGTTTTGGTTTACTTTGTGATATTCAGTCATGTTACGTTCTCAATGGAATCAAAATACATTAGGGTTTGCTTGGAATCGTACTCGAATGCGGACAAAAACTACCGTTACAAGACTTTTTCAGAGAGTTGGTCCAGAATTGCTTTTTTTGGTCCACACTAGAGTACTTTATTCAGAAACTGCCTAAACTAACTTAAATGCAAAGCTGCATCTTCCTGGTAGAAGTAAACCTAGCAGCGATTAATTTTGGATTCTCATGTGAATGAATATTTAAGACTTGGTGGGATTTAGAGGTAGGTCAAGGAGTGTGTAGGGAAATCTATTGTTAAAGTAATTGGTAGTGGGTGGATTGCTTACAAATTTGGATGACCAACCAGACAATATTGGTATCCAAATCTGTGGTATGCAGAAACTCGGAGGGACCTTAAGGCTCCAGGTTCACTGTGTACCAATTAGTTTCTGATAATATTTAGTGTTCAAATATGTTTGTTTATGCTGTATAGCATATACTTTAGTATAGTATTCATTTACATTGAAATGATGAGGACATTAAGGGAATATTTCCATCATTACCGAGTGTTAAGGCCAAATCTTGGAAAGGGGTTCTGTTCGAGGCTTTCCTCCGTGAATTCGGTGGTATCGTGCCACATGGAGCATTTTTCACGTTACCAATTACTGACTACAATGTTATTTCAGCCATGGTTGCTAGATATCGCAATGCTAGCTAACAAGCAAGCTATGTAGGAAGTGTTGCTGCCCACAGTGGCTAGCTAACAGCTGGTTAGCTAGCCACTGTGGTTCAGGTATCTTCTGGTATCAAAGACTAGAAGCAGTTCATTTCCAGAGTGATCTGCACTTTTGAATTCAAGTCTCTATTGCTAGTTAAAGTTGTATTTAACAGAAAGGGTACAATCAGCTTTCCTCCAGTGAGTCAAGTTGACCCTTGACCTTAACCCTTTCCCAGCTTGTTGCACAACTGTTGAGACTTTGAAAAGTGGGTTGACCCTAACCCTTAAACACTTTTAGGGACACTTGGTTGACTTTGTTTTCAAATATTTTCCCTCCCCGTGGGCCTACTAACCCGTGCGTATTTTATATATTTTATCTTATATTTTACCAGCACTTATCTTTAAAAGCACTTATTTTACTAGGCACTTTTATGTATTTATTTATCATTTTTTCACACTAATTTTACCTGCATGCCGGTTTTAAGCAAGGTCAACCTCGGTACTTTTAGCCAGATGTTTTTAATCCACTTACCAGGTCTTTTACCAGATGTTGTGGGACACAGCCTCGGACACTCTACCGGGGGGGACCCCTCGGGGGGGGCAGGAGTACAGGTTTTAACCCCGCCGCATACGCTCTGTGCTTCAGCCGCTGCTCTCTTTTATCCCTTTTATTGCATTTTCTTTAAAACATGTTTAAACACAGACTCCAAACAGGGCTTTTATAAACTTTTATTGGTTTTATTACAGGAGTTTTTAAATAGGTTTTTAAACTAAAAATATTGACCCGAGAGCCACGCTGCGCTCCTACGGAGCACCGCGCGTTCCCCAAAACCCTAACCCTTTCCCAGCTTTTTGTACAACTGTTGAGACTTTGAAAAGTGGATGGTGCCCCTTGCATCTGTTGAGTCTCTGTTCTCTCAGTCCTTAGGTGTGGATGGGGCATGTTATGTCAAGACACTACCGGTGTGCATCACCCTCTATGTGGTTGACCTTTTTTTAGATGAAGCGTTACTATTTCAAAATGTAATGTTAAAAGGATGTTGGTAACAACTCTGCTGCCATTTTCATTTTTTATTGTAGCTGTGGCGTTTACCACGTCTTCCATGTTGGCAGGACATCATTTGCACTAAGCTACTGTATGATGAACAGCTTGAGGAGACGTACCGTAGCACCGCATCCCCATGGTCAGAATCAACTGCAGTACAATTCCAAACTTAACCCGATGGAACACGAAATTACAATATAGGAGGTCCGTCATGATAAACAAGCTAACTTCCTGTCTCTGGGGTTCATGGGGAGGAAAAAGGTTGAAAACAGGAAGTCCTCCTGGTCAGGAGGCTGTGATGTAACCTGAACAGTACCGAAGGTGATAGAACTAGCTTGAACCACTCCTGCCTCCCTCTCTCCCTCTGTCCTTTCTCTCCAATCTCCTCCTCCCCGCAGAATTAGCAGATTATTATTTTTGTAGAGAATAGATGAATAACGATAAAAAAACGAGTTTTATTACTGTACAGCTTTGGATAAAACAGACGGTAAAGGTGGTTACAGGTGTTTTTGTTTGACCTCAACTGTGCTGTGTGTAATTGTTTTATGCATTTATAATCATATTTATTAAATGGAAAGAAGTCTGTTAACTGTGTTCTCATTTTCTTACAATATTTGTAAAGAAATACTATGTATTTGAGGAAGTAATATTCAACCTATAAAGACAATAAAACAAGCATGTGTTAGTTTTTTCTTCTACACACGTATGAACATTTATCTACAAATGTTGACATTTGCAAAGATTTAAGAAAATAATTGGGGCTCAACTCATCGTTTACTGCTTTCAATTGCATACCATTGTGATCCCTATAGGCAATGACACCTGTTACTAAAGATATTACATATGATTGAATTACACAAACATAAGTATACCTTAGACCAGGGGTCAGCAACCTTTTGATATGAAGTGCCATTTAAAAAAAAAAATGTAATCAGTGTGCCAAATCCACATTAAGATTATCATTAATTGCAATTATCAACATTTCCAACGGGTCTGTAATTTTATTACATCAAAGTGCATACAGTAGCAACATTTAAAAGAAATCAGCCATCCTTATGAAAACATTCACATCTGAGTTGAAATCACTAATCACCAATGATGATTAAGCACCAATATTCAGCAATAAACTTGCAATGTGTTAACAGCAAATGTCAAAACAGGTTAATTAAATGTAACAAACAGAAACATGAGCAGCAAGTATGCTCCCATCCATATGAAAACATCCACATCCGATTTATCACACAACGGGCAGGCTTTTTTTTTAAATATTGAAGTTAAAAGCATCAATCTGGTGCACTTTGAGAGCAAAATTAATAGATATATGGATACATCTGTCAACACCCATATTAAACAGAACTGTAAACAGATTTTCTTTTTCTTTATGGATATTTTACAAATCACTCCCCTTTTAAACTGTATTCTTGTTTTACTGTAGAACAGGGGTCGGCAACCCCTGGCACGCGTGCCACCAATGGCACGCGGCACCGTAACCAGTGGCACACTAGGAATAAGTGGAATAAGTGTACAAAATATTTATTTTATTTTTGGATCCTGAACGAGACCGCCGCCAGAGCGTGTCTCCCCGTTACCTTGCAGAAGGAAGCCATGCACGCAACGCAGCCCCACTCTCTTTAACTCCAGGCGACTTTATGCCGCTTTCCTCCGTAATGCAGTGCTGATAGTTCACCACAGAGGAAAAGCACTTCACAAATTGCAGTACCCATAAGGAGCTGTAAAAATGCCGCAGTTTTTGTGTGGCGATCGATATCGGCCGATACTCACTCTCTGCCGATCGATCGGTGCTCTCTAAAAAGGCCGATCGCGAGACGTAACATACATGACACTTTTCTCTGTACGCGGCAAAACAAGCTCGCCAAATCGCTTCACCAGTCTGGCAGTATTTTAAGGTGTCCGAAAATGACATAAAAATAGCGGTTTTGCAACGTGTGTGAAGCAGAAATCCTGCAGCTACCACCCGCTGTGACGGACGCGTGAGCGGAGCAAAACA